TTGTAATTCCTAAACCCTTCCTCCAATTTGGGTGTACATACCTTCAAATTAAACCTGAGAGTGTGCACTTTCAGCCCATATCCATTACATAATTATAGCTTGAATATATTTCACTACCTGAAAAAAACTAAAATTGTGCCTGTGTCCTACTATATATAGACCTAACTGTATGTGTGTGTGTGTGTATATATGTATATATATGTATATATATATATATATATATATATATATATATATATATATATATATATATGTGTGTTAATATATTTATTGCGACAGGTAGCCAGGAAGAACTAAGGGATGTGTCCAGGATGGGAGGTATGTTTGTCCCAGGTTCATGCTTTCCACTGACTGTTTCTCCTGCTGTGCTATGTAGTGAGCCTGTTTGGCTCACTGATGATGTAATGAGCTCAGCTGTAGTAGGTTAAGGGCTCTGGGCTCTATAAAACTCCCAGGCTGCTTAGGGAGAATGCTCCAACTTGGAACCAGTTTGCTGTGCAGGACAGACCAAGTAACCATAATACTGTGGTGAGAGTAAATCTGTGATCTTGGACTGGGAGACGCTGTGTGTGAACCCCCTGTGTCTGAGCAGTGATAGGCTGTATCCAGACAGGTAGATAGGAACCTGTGTTTGCAATTAGATGCCCAGTGTGGCAAGGCTTTATTTTCTGTTTGTATTTGTTTGCTGCTGATTTGCATTTGCCAAAGCAAGCTGTCTCAGGGTCTCTTCCATGCTGGTCTTACTTCACCTGCCTCGCAAACCTCTACCATATGTGAGGGATTAGCCTAGTAGCGGGTTGTGCTTGACCCCCTGGATGATCTGAGCACGGTGAAAGAGGCTCAGCACGTCAGCAGGATCTTGGTGAAGAAAGTTGAGCTTTATTTACAAGACTGGTGAACACAAGGTGCATATATCCAAAAACTGCAAAATAAACACAAAGAGAAAATAAAGCCTTGCCACACTGGGCATCTAACTGCAGACACAGGTTCCTATCTACCTGTCTGGATACAGCCTATCACTGCTCAGACACAGGGGGTTCACACACAGCGTCTCCCAGTCCAAGATCACACAGATTTACTCTCACCACAGTATTGTTTGGTTGCTCCCCAGTCTGTCCTGCACAGCAAACTGGATCCAGGTTGGAGCATTCTCCCTAAGCAGCCTGGGAGTTTTCTAGAGCCCAGAGTCCTTAACCTACTACACCTGAGCTCATATATCATCAGTGAGCCAAATAGGCTGACTACATAGCACAGCAGGAGAAACAGTCGGTGTAGAGCATGAACCTGGGACAAACATACCTCCCATCCTGGACACATCGCTTAGTTCTTACTGTCTCACACACACACACACACACACATATCTATATATATATATATATATATATATATATATATATATATATATATATATATATATACACACACATATACAGGCGTACCTCATTTTACAAATATAATTCGTTCTGCGGGACTTTTCGTATTGCGAACAATTCGTAAACCGAAACGCAGTTTCTCATAGGAATGCATTGAAAACCAATTAATCCGTTTCGGAGGTCAGAAAAAAAGTTTAAAAAAAGTCTTCTGTTCAAAACTCTTTATAAAGTGCACTTTAAAGGCATAAATACTGTACAGGGACATGATTAAAAATTAATTCGTAAATGCATTGAAAACCAATTAATCTGTTCTGGAGGTCAGAAAAAAGTAAAAAAAAAGTCTTCTGTTCAAAACTCTTTATAAAGTGCACTTTAAAGGCATAGTACTGTACAGGGACATGATAAAAAAAAAATCGTAAATGCATTGAAAACCAATTCATCCGTTTGTATTGCGAAATAAATTAATAAACCGAGGCATTATTTTCAGTGGATCTTCATTCATAAACCGAAAATTACGTTAACCAAGGCGTTCATAAACCGAGGTACGCCTGTGTGTTTTTTTTTATATGTATGTGTGTATGTATATATACAGTTGCAAGAAAAAGTATGTGAACCCCTTGGGATTACCTGGAGTTTTGCATGAATTGGGCATAAAATGTGCTCTGAACGTCATCTAAGTCACAACAATAGAAGAACACAGTCTGCTGAACATAATACTACACAAACATTAGATGTTGCCATGGTTTAATTGCACATAACATGTAAACACTCACAGTGCAGGGAGGAAAAAGTATGTGAACCTTTGGACTTAATAACTGGTTGACCCTCCTTTGGCAGCAATAACCTCAACCAAACGTTTCCTGTAGTTGCAGATCAGACCTGCACAATGATCTGGAGTCATTTTGGACCACTCCTCTTCACAAAACTGTTTCAGTGTAGCAATATTCTTGGGATGTCTGGTGTGAATCGCTCTCTTAAGGTCATGCCACAGCATTTCAATCGGGTTGAGGTCAGGACTCTGACTGGGCCACTCCAGAAGGCGTATTCTGTGCTGTTACAGCCATTGTTTTGTTGAATTACTTGTATGCTTTGGGTCATTGTCCTGTTGCATCACCCATCCTCTGCGGAGCTTCAGTTGGCGGACAGATGGTCGTACGTTTTCCTGCAAAATGTCTTGACAAACTCTGGAATTAATTTTCCCATCAATGACAACAATCCGTCCAGGCCCTGAGGCAGCAAAGCAGCCCCAAACCATGATGCTCCGTCCGCCATGTTTTACAGTGGGGATGAGGTTTTGATGTTGGTGTGCTGTGCTTTTTTTTTCTCCACACATAGTGTTGTGTGTTCTTCCCAAACAACTCAATCTTGGTTTCATCTGTCCACAGTATATTTTGCCAGTAGTGCTGTGGAACATCCAGGTGCTCTTTTGCAAGCTTCAAACGTGCTGCAATATTCTTTTTGGACAGCAATGGCTTTCTCCGTGGTGTCCTCCCATGTACCCCATTCTTGTTTAATGTTTTCCTTATTGTAGATGTGTCAACAAAAATGTTAGCATGTGCCAGAGATTTCTGTAGGTCTTTAGCTGACACTCTGGGATTCTTCTTTACCTCATGCAGCATTCTGCACTGTGCTCTTGCAGTCATTTTTACAGGACGACCACGCCTAGGGAGAGTAGCAACAGTGCTAAACTTTCTCCATTTGTATACAGTCTGTCTTACCGTGGACACATGAACATCAAGGCTTTTGGAGATACTTTTGTAACCCTTTCCAGCTTCATGCAAGTCAACAATTCTTGATCGTAGGTCTTCTGAGAGCTCTTTTCTGCAAGGCATGGTTCACATCAGACAGTGCTTCTTGAAACCAGTAAACCCAAAACAGGTGTGTGTTTTTTAAGGGCAGGACAGCTGTCAGCAACACATCCAATATCATCACACTGGAGTCAAGGTTGGCTCACTCCTGGCTCCAATTAGCTCTGGGAGAAGTCATTAAGCTAGGGCCTCACATACTTTTCTCCCTGCACTGTGAATGTTTACGTTATGTGCAATTAAACCATGGCAACATCTAATATTTGTGTATTATTATGTTCAGCAGACTGTGTTCTTCTATTGTTGTGACTTAGATGACGTTCAGAGCACATTTTATGCCCAATTCATGCAAAACTCCACGAAATCCAAAGGGGTTCACATACTTTTTCTTGCAACTGTATGTAGTATAGCTTATACTTCCAAAAAGTTAATTTTGTTCATGGACATTTTACTTTTAAACTCACATATAGACCGTGAGGTGACTGGCTTCAAGTGATACACAGCCATGAAGCAAATTCTCCTACATAAGATATACCTGTTTATCTGCAGCATTCTCTTCTCTGCAGCTGTTCAAAGTGCTGAATTTATAAAGCTTGACTGCCTTTCAATGTCACCCATCAGTGCCAGTCAGTGCCACCTATCAGTGCTGCCAGTCAGTGCTGCCTAACAGTGCCAGTCAGTGCTGCCTATCAGTGCCCATCAGTGCCTGCCTCCTCATCAGTGCAGCCTATCAGTGCCCATCACTGCGCCTCATTAGCACACATCAGTGAAGGAGAAAAATCACTTATTTACAACATTTTATAACAAAAACTAAGAAAAAAAGTTTACTTTTTTCAAAATTTTCAGTGGTTTTTGGTTTGTTTAAGAAAAAAATAAAAAAACCCAGAGGTGATTAAATACCACCAAAATAAAGCTGATAAAAATGTCATATGGGTACAGTATTGCATGACTGCACAATTTGTCATTCAAAGTGCAACAGCGCTGAAAGCTAGAAATTGGCCTGGGCAGGAAGGGGGTATAAGTGCCCTGTAGGCTTGTGGTTAAAGATAGCTCTGAGAGCGTATATTGAGGGAAGGGACACACCCCCTCCACACAGCACACAAGAAGAGAGCTGAGGTTGTCAATCACAGGCTGTGCAGGAGCTCCCTCCCCTGTCACCCTTTCTTATCTTGGTGTCAGGAAAACCTGTCTGAAGTGATTGATGCTCATAGCAGAGGAACAAAGCAGTAGAAATTACATTTAGTGATCTGGATTGAGACAAGTACACACTAAGAGGGGTATGTTTTGTTTAGATTTCATGTCTGAGGTTTACAACCACTTTAGAGCATCTCTTATAACATGAGATGTCAGTTGCACAATCTGGTTCAGGTGGCAACTAGCTGGCAGCACGTGGAATGCAACAGCATGGAGGGGGGGGGGGGGGGTATTGACTTGAGTTAGAGAAGCCACAGGGAGTTATTTACTAAAACTGTAGAGTGAAAATTCTGTTGCAACTCTGCATAGGAACCAGTTGGCTTCCAGGTTTTATTGTCAAAGCTGTACCAGATTCTGAGTGCACCAGCTTTAGTAAATCTCCCCTACAGTGTTTGTCTGCACTAATCTCCTGTCTCATCTGTCCCCTGCATAGATATAAATTGTGAGTGCTCTAAAGCACTTGGACATTTGTTGCCTTGAGTGCGTTAAGGTCATGCGTTTGTGTGCCTGACTGCCCTCTAACGGCTATAGGCTGCCTAACAATTTTAATATATTGATGTTGTAAAATATATGTTTTTTAATAAGTGTTGTTACATATGCTAATTGTGTGTTGTCTTTTGAATTTCAGTGAATCAATACATGCAGAGTCTGAACCGGTAATTCATTCTCTGCCAACGCCATTACCAGATCAGCATGCCACAGTTACCGTGCAGCTAGAGTCAGAGGAGGATGTAAAGCCTCCACCATCCGTGCTCATACCTCCTCAGCCCGAAGCATCTCTAGAAGATGGCGAGGATCAGGAATTTGAACAGTCCCTAGACAGATCATTATCCCCGTCTCTATCCTCCGTGGACATGAGATTATCCCTATCTCCGCCTTTACCTCGGTCAGAAGAATGCTTCAATCCTCCAAGGCAGCATCTGAGAACAGACTGTGCCTGCAGCCCAGACATTTTACACTTACAGAAGAGAGAGCACCAGATCATTTTAAACAACCAAAAACAATATGGACTTTACATCAAAGAGAAAAGAGAAGCCTTGAAAAGGAGGCAACACCTGGAGGAGGAATTACTAAAATCCAAAATTAAAGTGGAGAAATTAAAGGCAATAAAACTGAGAAGGGACTTACCTGAATATAATATATTGTGAAGTTTACATTTGTTGTATATTTTTAGTTGAGTATGTATGCATCTGCGGGTAATTTTTTAGTGCCCCAGCTTCTGTGATACTACATGGTGAGTGAGCATCATGTAGGGGCTTCCTCGCACTGCCTCCATTTCTATGCACTTTGCCATCTTTTACAGTATAAGATAATATATGGACAATCACTTGGCCCTGCTCTCGCCAAGCACCGTACTGCCTCACAGTAACAAATTTTTAAATCCATGTGCATATTTTTACATGCGTTTTGACATGTATTTTCAAGGCTTATGACTAGGAAAGTGACAGCAAATGCATAGAAAATGAAAAAGCAGTGTGCTACGTCAGTAGTCTGTCAAAATGCATTTCAGTGCACATATATTTTTCTGCGACGGTCTGTTGTTAACACATGGGATTTGAATTAGCCTTTCTATATAATACTGCCAGCCAAAATGGTGTTCTTCAGAAACTCACAAAAAAAATACCTTCTAGGGGGTTCTGCCTTTCCTGTTATCCACCCGTTCAGTCTCACTATTGTAATAAACAATACAGGACCAAACCTATTTTATTTAAAGCCAAAACGTTTTCTTCATTCTGGATAGAGTTAGAAAGGGTTAAAAACGCATGGAAGGCTTTTTTTTTCCAATCTGCGGCCTGTTAGGGGGATTTACCTTTGCTTCCTGTTGCAGAGACACTAAGAAGTAAAAGGAGATCATTTAAAAGTTTATAACTTCAGCTCGTTCAATTAAGTTTTGACCAAAAAAAATTAAATGGAAGCTGATTGATTTCTATGCAGAGCTGCACCAGATTTTTAACCTTCCAGCTCTAGCAAAGCAACCCCATAGTCATCTAAAAAGAACAGATGTTCACGAACACAAAGTTCTAATTCTGGATGAAGTACATGGACATTACAATCAGGCTAGATTTACACTTGAAAAGGTGAGTAAAAAGAAATGCCCTGTGTCAAGTAAGATACAAGCTGGAAGATGCGTTAGAGGGAGTTTATTGAAAATGGCAACAAGTTCATCGAGTCAATATGTTTCAGGGGAACTGAGACTCCCCCTTCTTCAGGGCTCTTGCTGTATGCTGAATCAGAGAGATAACTGGCAGAATGTCAACTGTGTTTGCAGAGGCAGCATTGAAACTTTCCTCTTTACTCACCTTTCCAAGTCACATACGGAACCACCCAAAGACCAGACCCGAAGGAAGCAGCCCAAGCCCTAAGAGGGTTTACCCCCACCACTCTTCAATTGGGCGCAACCCATTGAAGAGAGTTCTTCCTACTTGGCTACACTATCATCCACTCACAATCAATGACTGATCAAATCAGTCTAGAACAGTCTCCAACCCTAATAAGTTAGGTTTACACTTTTTGCAATTTTCATGCATTTTCAGGCAATTTATTAAAGCCATTGGGCCAAAAAAGTGCATTGTCAACCCCTATACTTTATTCAACACATTTGGAGGAGAAATACAGGTTGAAAGGGCTGCCTGGAAAATAATGGTAACCCTTCTGTCATGCATTGTCAAGCGTCGGCCAGCATTCATAAAATTGCAGCAGTGTGAACAGGGACAAAGTACAATTTTTCCCGACGGAGGAACACATCAACAGTCAAAATTTTGTTCGTTCAGATATGAAACAAGAAACATTTTCCATCCTTCGCTTTTGAATTTCCTTATCACTATAGTTGAAAATGAACATCGATTTGTGCTCACAAGCCAGAATTCTAACCACGTGCTTTTGACAGCTGTCAGCAAAACAGGTTTATCAAAGATTTCCTCTTACCTCCTGTATTTTTTTTTTCCAAAGACTTTGTGCACCATACACTATGATCACAGTAACGATGGTGAGAGTGAATCTCCCCAGTGAGGACACAAACGCCAATAAAAACCAGGAAGACCCAGATCAGAGGTTTGGCTTTACACTCATTTTAAAGTACATGGTTGGTAGTTAAATACATGGGCTACCACTGCTGACCTTTTTCTGAAGAGTGAGAGCCTGGTTGCCTCTAGAGTAAATGCTACTAAATGACAGACCTAGAACAAGCATGCAGCAAATGAAAGTTAGGCAAAAATGGGAACTGCTATTCTCAATACTTGTTCTGGCCCAGTGACCCATAGCATGGAATCCAAACTGCTAGCATTGTCAAAAGGATTGCTTCGTAGTGGCAGCATATGGATTTATCTCTTGATGGGTCTTCTCCAAGTCTGAACCAAAGAGATTCAGTCCTTCACTTTGATGGATTAAACTTTGTAACTCCAGTTTTGTTGAGAAAAATACAACCCTGTTCAGGTGATATGTGCAGTATATACTGCAAGGATTTTAACCCACTTTGTTGCAGATCCCTACCCTTTATTTGCTGAAGGAAGGGACAGACTTTCCAGACTAATTTCTGAATAGGATTTTATTATAACTTTTATTATAACCACCTGAGCAAATCTCAGTGTTCTAATGTGGAAAGCTGCAGTGTTGACATCACTTTAGAAGTAGTCAAGTCTTATGGGATGTCTCAACAAAAAACAAACTCCTACTGCAGGAGTTGTCTAAAATTTGACTTCTGAGAAAACCATTGAGACAATCCCACTAGCAAAAGACGCCTTTTTGGGGCATTCTCTACCACAACGGTGTATGGAATGCCTCCAAGTTGCCAATTTCAGAAAATGACAATAGTAGCAGATTGAATTGGAAAGGTAGTTTTCTTTTTTTTGTACATCACAGGACATGGAGCAGGTTATATAAATCATGACTACCTGGGTTATCTGCCACCTGTAGGTGATTGGAAACTGGCAGAAACAAAGAGACAGGAAGTTCTCCCTATATAACCCATCCCCTTAAGAAAGTACCTCAACTTATTACCCAAATCTATAGCTTGAAGGATAAGGTTTCACTTTTTCATGTGAAAGTTGACTCTACCAGAAGTGTTGGAGTGCTTTTTGCTATCCCTCATCAGGCATCAGTGGCTCAGGTTTTCAAGGCTGCGACCTGGGCTTCAGTATACACCTTTTACGAGGTTTTTACCTGGTGGACGCAAGAGCCGCTGAGAATACTGCTTTTGTCTGCAGTGATTTGTGGGCTTGCGGAGTGGTTTCATGGGGCCTGCCTGTGGGTACTGTGTCCCCCTCCTTTCATGTGCATTACTTTGTGACATCCCATGTAGTCATGATCTTCAAGAAAATTGGATCATCGTACTTTTGTAGGTTAATTGCTTGCTACAAAACTGAGGTACTTCCTGTATGGGAGGGGTTATATAGGGGGGGACTTTCTGTCTGTTTCTGTGTCCATTCAGATATAGGTGACGCATAACAAGATAGTCATGATTTACGCCCTGCTCTATGTCTCACAATGTACTCCAAGAAAATGATTTTTCAGGTAAGTACAAAAATACACTTGCCGCCATCCAATGGCCATGCTTCCACTGTTTGTTTACATCCAGCACGACATCTTTATTGTATTTGCCTCTCCTGCACATTACAGCCCCCTAGATTTGTATGTGATTTTCTCTGTCCCTGGGGAACATCCCTGTAGAAGTCAATGGGACAGTAATGTGCAGGCGTGGCACAGTAAAGACTGGAACCACTTGACAGTGGAACCACAGCCATCAGGTCTTGGTAAGTATGCACCTGTGGAGGGTGGGTTCGATTTAGGTCAGGGGAAGGACAGAAAGTAACAACTATATACTTCCCTGAATGAAACCTCAGTGGATGCATTTGCTGAGTATGTTCTAGCGTTGTTTCTACTGGGAGTTGTGGAGGAGAATTATCGCTAGTCATATACATCCAATATCTGAAACTGAGTTTTTTGGGCATTGCTAATACTTGAGTCCCCGATCGTCAATTTTTTTATTTTTTTCTAATAGTGACCTGATTACTCATTTTTTTGGAATACGTTCTCCATATGCTAGGATAGTTGAATGTATCTGTATCATCATTTTTCTCTCCTTGATCAGTCTGTTCATAGACATATGTAACTGGAACATGCAGGAGTTCTGGCAGCCCTGCCTGTCCTAAGTAATTATTTAAAAAGCTATTGTTTAGTAATGGTTATATTGTAAATAAGATTTTATAGAAAATTGATCCCATTTTGATTTTGCGACCTGTGGTTTGATATTAAGCTATTTAAGATTTTGTGTTTTTTGTCTGAGAGCCTTTATTTAAAAAGAACTAGTCACAAAATCAAAGAACTTGCAGTTACAGTCATTACATCCTGTAAACACTAGAAAAGAATGTCCTGTCCTTGGCTCTGTCTTTTCTAGTATCAAGATAAAATGTAAAAACAAAAATATTACATTTTTTTATTTGATTTTTTTGTTGACTGGCTCCTATAAAGGAATTGCAGGGAATATGTACTGCTTTTTGTAATATGCTCTATGTACCTTGTTTATGTTTACATGTTTGTTTTTTAAAACTCATTCTCAGTTATTGTTTTATCACTGTATGAATCAATTTGTTTCAAAGACTAAAAATAAACCTTTTAAATGTTGCACTATGCAATATGGCTGTGTCTGTTCAGAACTCGGGCTATTACCTATTGTGTTTCTCTGACATAAAAGCAAGGAAGGAAGGCTACGATGCAAAAGCTAATCTCCCAGGCCAGGCACTTGGAAGAGTATGTTGTCTGTGCTTGCCATACTATAACACCTAAACCCTGCAATCTGCAGATTAACATTCTTCCCTGTGGTTCCCTGTGCTGTGAGGTTGTTCACGTTGATTGCTTTTTGATCATATGAACATTGACAGCCAGTCATGGTGACCACTTGGGTTTGTTTATAAATTAAACTACCACTTCCATTGATCGTTGTTCCACGCAGAAAGAGAGGCACAGAACCATCTGAAAGCAGTGGCTTAGAAGCAATAAAAAGTTTAACATGATTTAAAACTTTAATGTGTAAAATAAAAAATTAAATACACTTGTAACTACGGCAATATGTAGCCTTCATCAAACTTTCTGCTAACTCCCAGTGGCTGAATGTATCGGCGAGAAATCATGATGAAGGTGGTTTACATCGTGATTAACTCGTTGCATAAGCAGAGCACAGATCCAGTTTAAGAACATGCTAAATAACTTCTGCATGTCCCACTGCTCCAAAGCTACCCATATCTCCATTCTGCAAACTAGCCAAGTTTCGAAGCTCAGGAGCCCAGTGTTGCTCCACACCACACTCAATCTCAAAGGAAACTGGCTGCACACCAATGACGTCTTGAAGAACTAGTTATCTTTATTAAGGAAGCAAGCAGCATACAGCGCACACTATAGACCTTCCACATGAAGTCGCCCATCTAACATGTTTCCCCCGTAGCAGGGCTTAATCATAGAAATCAGAAAAGCTTTACGAGGGACAGACTAAGGTGGACAGTTTACAGTGTGTGCTCTATGCTGCTTGCCTAATAATGCCTAAATGGATCTTCAAGACTTCATTGGTGTGTGGCCTGTCTCTTTTGAGTTTGAAAATGCTAAATATGTAAATTTTTTTTAAACATTTTTTTTACAATACTTACTTGAAATGTGTAAAAAAAAACATTCAGGAGCGTCTATCTGATGTCCCCCCCCCACCCACTATTACTCACCTTGTCAGCGTTCCAACACTGCTCATGCTACTGAGCTGGGGCTTTCAGGTATGGGAGAACATTTAGGCATATGGAGAATGCAAGAAAAGCATCTCCTGCACTTAGGAAATGTGAAGATGCTTTATTCAGTCCAGGATAAAGCTGACACTCATGCTTCAATGCTCATGCATTTCAGCCCTATAAGGGACCTAATCTAAGATTAAGGCCCACATAGGGCTGAAAAGTGTGAATGTGGAAGCATAAGTTTCAGTTTTATCCTGGATTGAATAAAGCATCTTCATGTTTCCTAAGTGCGGGAGATGCTTTTCTTGTTTACATTGATGTTATAGCTGACGGGAGCTAATATGGAGTACTGCAGACTACTGCTGCACGGGTCTACCTTCTAAAAACAAGCTCCACAGATTTCCACTAGACCTCCATGTGCACACTTGACCAGTGGTGTTTCTGTGCATTAGATATGGATCATGTGCACAAAATCATGCTGTTTGTAAGTGTTTTTAGAAGGTAGCCGATTCATTTCAATGGGCTCCCTACATGCAGCAAACATAGGTACATAGTTAGTTCGGCTGAAAAAAAGACAAAAGTCCATCAAATTCAACCATTAAAAAAAAAAAAAAAGTTATAATCCTACACCCACAGGTGATCCAGAGGAAGGCAAAAAAAAAAAACCAAGCAAAGCATGATACAATTTGCTCCTGCAGGGGAAAAAAAATTCCTGAATGATCCCCCAAGAGGCAATCAGATATTCCCTGGATCAACTTTACCTATAAATGTTAGTATCCAGTTATATTCTGTGTATCTAGGAAAGAATCCAGACCTTTTTTGAAGCAATCCACTGAGCTGGCCAGAACCAATTCTTGAGGGAGTCTATTCCTCATTTTCACAGCTCTTACTGTGAAGAAACCTTTCCGTGTTTGGAGATTACATTTCTTTTCCTCCAGATGTAAAGAGCGCCCCCTTGTCCTCTGTGATGACCTCAGGGTGAATAGCTCTACACCGAGTTCACTATATGAACCACTGATGTATTATACATGTTGATCATATCCCCCCTTAATCTCCTCTTCTCAAGAGAGAATAAATTCAGTTCCTCTAATCTTTCCTCATAGCTGAGCTCCTCCATGCCTCTTATCAGTTTGGTTGTCCTTCTCTGTACTTTCTCCAGTTCTCCAATGTTCTTTTTGTGAATTGGTGTCCAAAATTGAACTGCATATTCCAGATGAGGTCTTACTAATGATTTGTACCGGGGTAATATGATATCTCTCTCTCTGGAGTCTATACCTCTTTTAATACAAGAGAGGATTTTGCTCGCTTTGGAAACCACAGCTTGGCATTGCATGCCATTATTAAGCTTGTGATCTACCAGAACTCCCAGATCCTTCTCCACCATTGATTCCCCCAGTTGTACCCCCCCTAGTATGTATGATGCATGCATATTCTTAGCCCCCAAGTGCATAACCTTACATTTATCAACATTAAACCTCATTTGCCACATAGTTGCCCAATTACACAGTGCATTGAGGTCGGGTTGTGAGTTAGCGACATCCTGTAAGGACGTTATTCCACTGCACAGCTTGGTGTCATCGGCAACGTGGCAAAGTAGCTTATGTAGCTTTTTGCTGCTTTGATTTTTGTGTTTTTACCCACGTTTTGCCATGTGTGTTGTGCATTTTTCCAAGTGGAAAAACACTTGTCTGGTTGCCGTGTTTGGGGTGCCATTAACAATGAATGGCACAGCAAACATGACACTCCAGATTTTATGCATGCTTACAAAACGCACAGATGTGAATGAAGCCTTGAGTATAGCTAAAGGCAAAACTTTATTTTTTAGTTTTGAATAGAATAGAGAGGTATTACAACACCTGGCAACATTTTATTGCTGTCTGTACCCCATTTATGGAGATTTATCCACACTATTGGTCTTGTTTACTGTTATCGAGAGTGAAAGGGTTGACACAAGAACAGAAATGGAGTGCAAATCTTCCAGTGGGGATACTAGTTCTGGTGACAACCCAGGATTTCTATACTTTGGAGATATTTCCTCTCATTTCCTGTTTTGGCTATCAGACAGGAAGTGAAGGAAAATCTATCAAATGATCTGTCAAATCTATAAATTAGGGAAATCGATCAAATGAGACAGATGGCAGAAGGAAAGACAGGGTTTATGACACTTCCTTACTCTATGCAAGTTGTGAAAAAAAAAACCCGTTTTGCCTTTAGTTCTACTTTAGCATCTTCCCGATCGGTCTATAGCAGATTGATGGCCGGGCGGGACACTCCTCGTTGTGACTGGGCGTCATATGACATCCTGTCAAAATGAGCCGCTCACGTGGCTGCTGGGCCGCGCAGCAGTGCGATCTGTCACCGGCTGTGTCCACGGGATACAGTCAATGACATATCACTACACCGGCCCGTTGCCAGTGTCATGTGACCACTGTGACCTGTCACAGCGGCTGTGTAGCGCCAAAGGGTTTGCTCAGCGCTGTACAATAGGGGGGGACAATACATAAACAGTACACCGTAACATCAAACAGCACACAAGGGTGTCATGTGACCACTCTGTGACCAATCACATCTAGATCACATGTCAATTGTATACAATGGATGGCTTCCTGTCGTGCCATCCATTGTATACATTTATGTTGTTAGCTGTGACTGGTCAAGGCAGTCACATGATACAGACAGGGCCAATCACAGCCCATCTGTATCATGTGATCAGCTTTGTCCAATCACAGCTAACCACAACAAAAGACTGAATTAATCAGTTTCATTCAGTAACAATGATTGCAAATATCAATGAAATACATTGGTATTAGCAATCATAATGTGTTAAAAAAAAAAAAAAAAAAATCCTGATCACTTCCCCAGAGTAGTTCAATGTTACTATGGTAACATTGTATTGCTTTGGTCACAGTGTACTGAAAAATAAAATGGTAAAAAAAATAAAAAAATAAATGTAATAAAAAAAATAAAAAAAACAATAGAAACATTTGAAAAAAAAAAAATACTAATTCAATTATTATTATTTTCACCAAAGAAATGTAGCAGAATACATGTTGAACTAAATTTATGAAGAAATGTTATTTATTTGCAAAATGTTATAACAGAAACAAAGAAAAGTGCATTTTTTTTTTTTTTTTTAAGTTTCAGGTGTTTTATTTAGAAAAAGAAAAAAAAAAAAGCCCTTGACCGCCATTTTCTACCTAAGGCGTTTACAAATATTACCAAATCTTTAGGTGTGTTTAGGTGTCTGGGCCGCTCTGTCCTTCAGGTTCACATGTACGCATTCTGTATACAGTATATGCACAATTCATATCTCCCAGCAGAATAGACCATTTAGTTTATTTAGTCTCTGATTGGTGTTGGATCTTGTTCTATTGATTAACCCAGTAAAAGAGTCTCCTCTTTTATCTGCATCTTCAGTGCATTTGGCTGACCAGACAATACCCAACAAAGCACAGGAGGAAGGAGAGGCCAGTTCCCTGGTGAAGTATTTCAGTGTGGTGTGGTGCAAGGCGTCCAAGAAGAAGCATAAGAAATGGGAAGGAGATGCTGTTCTCATCGCCAGAGGGAGATCCGTGACCTTAAAGGATATGGAAGGCAAAGATATTGGAAAAGGTACATTTTTTTTATTTGTATTTTTTCATTTCATTTTTTTTGATCATCAGTAAAACCTAAATGTGATTTTCTGCATTCATAGATTTCCCAATCAGGGGGCTAGTGTATCCCTTGTGATACACAAGCAGGATGAAACATCATTTACAAAGTTACAGTGCCACCTAGTGGCCATGAATGTTTAAACCTAAGCATGGGGAGAATTAAGTCATAGATGCATATTTATACATTTGCAAAGATCAATACACCAAGTACTTGCTTTTTTTCAGTTCAGTGTTTTTTTATTTTTTGTTTTCGTGTTTTATATAGCAAATGTGCTTATAGTACAATGAAAGGGTTACAGATAGTGAAAGTGTACACAGTTGGGGAAGCCAACAATGCTAAAAGCTGACAGTTGCTGTAGGTAGAGACTCATGCCTTGGGATTGATTTACTAAAACTGGAGGGTGCAAAATCTGCAGCTCGACATAGAAACCAATCAGCTTCTGTTTTTCTTTTTTTTTTTTTTTGTCAAAGTTAATTGAACAAGCTGATGCTAGAAGCTGACTGGCTACCATGTACAGCTGAACCAGATTTTGAACTCTCCAGTTTTAGTAAATCAACCCCAACGTGTCTACCTAACTGACTACCAAAACATAGGTGGCTAAGGAAGAACTATCACAGCTGAAGATTCCTGTAAAGGAGGAATGGGGATCCTAGATTGTAAGCTCGAAAGAGCAGGGCCCTCGAACCCCTCGTGTATCCCGTTGTATTGTTACTGTACTGTCGCATGTTCTGTCCCCCATTGTAATGTACAGCGCTGAGTGAACTGTTGGCGCTTTATAAATATTGTATAATAATGGGAAAGGAAAAGGATGGGGGATGTGTGAGTGGGTGGGGAGCTTCTGATTTGTTTGTATGTATTTATGTATTTATTTATTTTATTTTTGTGGCTTCATTGATTGGCCAGATTTCCAGAGAGCTTTTTTAAACCAGTTGTTTTTAAAGAGTCTCTGCCATTTTCCTGTTTTTGCATCTTCTGCAGTCCTTTAGTTTGAATATTTTAGTCTGATCATAAGCAGTTATTCCACTGCCCGTAAACAGTTTTACTGACTATAAATGTTTTGTCAGGTACTGGATACAAGCTGAAGGATCTGGAGAATCTAGAAGAAGGGCAGACCTTAATGATTGGTGGGAAGGAGATTGAGGTCATGGGTCCAATTGCAGAAGAGGATTATACTACTGGCAGATGTTTCCACTCAGCAGTGGTGTCACCCAGTCAGGTTCCTCTAGATTCCCTCAATCTCAAACCATTCATCAACCCAAAAAATATTGGCAAAGAGACTATATCAAAAGACCTTCAGACCTGCAAACCTCGCCATGATCCCAGCGCACCAGGTACACATTTTTATGTATTTTAATTAAGAGCTCATTTCTTAATATTCACAATACAAGTAGCCGGCAACTCAGAAAGCTTCTGAATGGAAATCTTTATTGGTTACATTGTATGTATGCGGCTGCAGGCTTGGCAATGTCCCCACTGTAAATGATTAGCCTATTAAAGGGGACAGGGGTAGGCTCAACCACGTGTGTTCAGAAGAACATCCAAATACACCTGAGTTCATCCCTGCTCTGCAGCATCATAGAAAGCCACATGCCATGTAAGAAGTTCCCTTTAACACCCTGCCCTGTTCACCAGTAGGTTAAATTGTATCTAAAGGATTAGACCCTCTGTCAAGTTTTTACTGCTGCATGTATCCCCACTGGGGAGATTCACCCATCTGTTTTCACTGGTGACCACTGTTGGAAAGAAAGAGTGAGGGGGAATCCAAAATTTTAGATTAGTCCCCAGAGGTGAGGAAATTCTTGCAACTGGGACATCTGTCTAAGAGGGGAATTCCCAGCACTTTGTGAGATTTCCTCTAACATCCGTTTGCGTCTCTAGGACAGGAAGTGAAGGAAAATGACATTAAAGGTGCACAGATAACAAAATATTAGCAGTGGCATAAGGAATGCATAGGCTGACACGTTCCCTCTCCCTCTGCATTCCTCTTGCCATTACTTATCACTGGAAAGTGTTCACAGCCAAGACAAGCTGCAACTATGAATCAACAAATCTGTTGTCGCATTGACTGCGGCAGAAGGGATGACAGCCAGATGGGACCTAGGGTTAGAAAGCACCTTCCAACATGGCAGAAAGTACTACATGTTCTTTGTCCCATAGATGACAGAACTATAAAAAAAAGGTTATGATGATAGATCTAATTTAAGAATTAGAAGCTAGTTAATGATTCAGCAAATTGTACCTGTTCCTGAAATTTCAGTTTTGTATTCACCTTCCATCCAAATAATTTACTAAGACTGGAGCAGACAGAATCTGGAGCAGTTATGCATGACAACCGATAGGCTTCTAGATTTCATTTTCAAAACTAAACTGTGAAAGTGGAAGATTGAAGATGGTTGTTTGCCATGCACAGCTGCTCCAGATTCTGCCTGCTCCATTTTTAGTAAATTGCTGCCTGTGTTTCTGTTGATATGCTTGGTGTTGTCTTTTGGAAGGTTCTATAGTAATGCCGAGACCGTCCGAACATCTTCAGAGAATGTTCAGCAAGTCCAGTTTGCCCCTTGTGGATGTCGTGGTTGATCCTTATGTGGCTGTACATCTGAGACCACATCAAAAAGAAGGGATTCTGTTCCTTTATGAATGTCTAATGGGGATGAGGTAAATCTTAAACTCCATGCTTCTTCAATATATTTTAGGTATGGCTCAGTTTGCGACACTAAAAAGATGTCTTACAATTAAACAGTGTAATTGTTACATTGCAACCAACCTAGAAAAAGAATGGACATCTTAAACTGCAATTTACTTTTGCCAGTGCTATGACAACTTAACCACTTCCTGTCCGGCCCGTGTACATAAGCAGCCGGGCGGGAGTAGTGCAGGAGCGGGTTGCCATTCATAAACGGCGCCCGCATTTATAGGCTGTGCGTGCTTCCTGGGAGTGCACGGCACCGTGATCCGGTGCCCGCTGTGTCCGAATACCGATCACTGTACGGGACCTCTGTGTGAGATCCTGATCATGTGATCACTGATTGGCCAATCAGTGATCTCATGAATAGTAGTAAGCAAGGTGTCACTTCTGACATCATTACTTACTACTACTGAAATCTGTGAATTATCACAGAGGTCACATGGTACAAGGCTATTCACAACAGCCTTGTACCATGTGACAAGCTGTAACCAATCACAGCTCTCACAGTATTTTTCAATGGCTGCAAGAATGCAGCCAGGGAGAAGAAGAAATGATTGCTTTTACACTCTTTATGGGTGTAAAAGCAATCAGAGTAAAAAAAAAAAGAAAAAAAATCTTCATCACCCCCCTACAAGTAGTACAGTGTCACTATGGTGACTGTACTGCTAGGGTGACAGTATGTTAAAAAGAAAAAAAAAACTTAAATAATAAAAATGTAAAATAAAATTTTTAAAAATTATAATTTTTGGTTATAAACTAATTTGGGTTATTTTTTTTTTACTAAAAAGATAAATGAATACATTTTGGCCAAGATTTATGAAGAAAGATTATTTATTTGCAAAACTTTATAAGAAAAACACTTTTTTTCAAAATGTTTGGAGTTTTCCCTTTATATAACAAAAAAATAAAAATCCCAGTGGTGAATAAATACCACCAAAATAAAGTTTTATCTGTCTCAAAAAAAATGCTAAAAAATGCATATGGGTACAGTGTTGCATGACAGCGCAATTGTCATTCAAAGTGTGATAGCACTGAAAGCTGAAAATTGGCCTGGACTAGAAGGGGGTAAAAGTGTCCGGACTTGAAGTGGTTAAGGTGTTGAAACCATCAGAAACTGGAAGACATGTGATATATTACATTATGGGGACTGTTATATTGTTGGAACATATATACATTTACAGTAATACAGCAGTCATAGTGTATGTACTGTATGTATAGTATATTCAGTGAATATTCACATTTATTGTTCCCTGAAGTGCTATGAGGTGCTCTTTATTTATTGTGCTAAGAAGAGGTATATGTGTTTGGACAATACATCTTTGGTCTCTTTCGCATAGGGTCTCTGGTCAGTATGGAGCCATCCTGGCGGATGAGATGGGTTTGGGTAAAACACTTCAGTGCATTGTCTTGATATGGACCCTTCTGCGCCAAGGTCCTTTTGGAGGCAAGCCTATTATAAAGAGAGCTTTGATTGTCACTCCAGGGAGTTTGGTGAAGAACTGGAGGAAGGAATTTCAGAAGTGGTTGGGCACAGAGAGAATGCGCGTGTTTTCAGTCGATCAGGTAATGACAATTACTTTACGTCCCAAGCATCTTATTGCGAAAAAAGAAAATAGTGACGAGGTGGATATCTATTTCTGGAGTGAGATGCTTCCTCATGTAAAAGTATACAGGAGCCTGCCGCCATCGGGGAGGAGTTTTTAGTGCTGCCATCACGCCACTGCATGATCCTGGGTCGGCAGCGGCTTTACGTGTAAGTGATTTTATCTTTTTTTGCATATGGATGGTTTTTATATTTATTCTAAATAAATACTACACTACTGGAGATTTTTCTGCTCCTGGTGAGCTTTATTCACCCCAGCTCAATCCCATCAAGAAGTACTTCTAGATGTAGACATGGGGGAGCGTTGCACACACGTTGATGAATTCTGGCACGTGATATAGGTGTTTTTGCTGTTGTAATGACAGCCTTCTGTTGCGGTGAGTTTTGATTTCACAAGGAGACGGTGGCTGGCTCCTGAATACTTTTACTTGAGGAGGGATCTCGCTTGTGAAGGTGGCAGATTGATTTTGCAAGATTCGTCACTGTTGTAGTAAAAATATATATGTGCAGCGCTAATAGCGGTATCATATAATATGTCGTAAATATATACCCAAAAATGAAAACAGCCAGTGACAGTTTTTATGAATAAATAGCGATATGCAGCTTCCAGTCCAGTGGTGGTGCTCCCTGTATTAAGGTAAAAATAGCGCACTAACCAGAAGCGTAATGAGATTACGCGGTGTATAAATCATACAGGTCCACTTCACTGGTCTGGGTCCGGACTGGAACTTAAGGTGGGTTCTATTTCAGTTGGTATGGGTAAATAGCCCTCAGTAGGTGTAGGTGGATCCAATAGGCCATAGGTCCCCTTTAAGGGATAGGTGGGTGAAGATTCCTGAGTTGCAGGTGCTTCCCTCTCTGGGTCTGGTAGATTGGTGACTGGATCACAGCAGGGCTCTGAAAATAATAAAGCCCTGATGACAGTGGCTTCCCTTTCACTGACACTTCCAGGTTCAGTTAGCACTGAGTAACACTTCCGGGTTCACCTCAGGACACTGCGGAGGAGAGCGCCGACGATCGAGGGACACAGCGCACCGATCACCTCGCTGCGCGCTCCCGGAGCCGCACATAAGCGGTTAGAATGGGACGACGTCACATGACGTCCTCCCAGAATGAGAGAACCGCCTTGCGCCCGTCATTGTACTATATGGCGGGCGGGAGGCGGTTAAACCAGCTGAGGTTAGAAGCTGATTGGCTACCATGCACAGCTGTACTAGGTTCTGAGTTTTAGTAAATCTACCCCAATGGTACAGATGAGATCCAAACAGCTCTGTACAATATAAATGTCTGGATGACTAGTAAAATCAAATACAAATGTAAAAAGTAATAATGTTTATATCTGAGAGCCCATCCCTTCCTTTCACAAGGGTGGAAAGAGGAACAATCATTCATTAGTTTCAGATTACAAACTGCAACAGATTCGGTAGGGGGAGTTTGATTGTACAATTGTTTTTTTAACCCTTTCACCTCCCCCTTCTCCTCTACATTTGATCTCCATCAAAGGGGTGAGCACCTAAGAGTCAATACTTTTTTTCAATTATTATTATTATATATATACATGTATGTCCTGATTTCAGTGACATGATATCTGCAAGGTGTATCCAAAGAAACTTCCTGACAATGTTTAGTCTGTTTAGCTTCTGTTTTGAAACCCTTTCCTGCGCACACCTGACTTGGTCTACAAGCACCATGTATCGTCATATTCTGTGCTCACTGAAGTAAAAGTGTGATGTTCAGCTTCTGCTAGAGCGCTCACAGGAAGTTCATACAAAGAGTCTGCTGCAACCTTTCTCCACTGTTTTTATAAAAAGAAAATGCAATCCTGTTGCAGTCTAGAAATAGAGTATAGTGAGAATTTAGTTTTTATGTCAGTAAACTAGTCTATGTCTCCTATGAAACCGTTTTCTAGATATTCTATGTTGCAGAATTCTGAGTGCATTATCCCTGTATAAAACATTGCAGATCAATTTATGGTACTTATGCTTGTGCACAGGATCACAAAGTGGAAGAATTCATCAACTCTCCTCTGTATCCTGTGCTGATCATTAGCTATGAGATGTTGTTACGTTCTATGGACCAAATCCAGAGCCTGGGCTTCGACCTAATCATCTGTGACGAGGGGCACCGCTTAAAGAACAGCTCCATAAAAACCACATCAGCACTCAGCAGTTTGTCTTGCAGTAAAAGAATCATTCTTTCAGGTAAATATGGAAAAAAAAGGTGGCAGTACTTAGGAAGAAAGAAAGCGATAATGCTGGCCATAGTTGTACAATCTTTTTGAAGAGGCAATAGACTTCTCTCAGTTACTGCAGGTTTTAATAAAAAAAGAATTGTCTTCTAGAACATGTTGAGAACAAACTCCATGCAAGTAGAACCTTTGCGTTCTTAGTGCAAATCCAACCCTGAACTCCATAGTCTCAATATAGATTAGTAAAATATTTTTTCTACAGCTACCTAGGCCACTTAGTAATTATCAAAGCTAAGCTGACCATAGACTTATGATGCTATTTAGAGCACCTTTGCAGATTTGACAGTCAAACAATATTCTCTAGAACAGTGTTCTTCAGCCTTTTCTTCAATCAAGGCACTCTTTACAGTTGTGCACAATCCCAGGGCATAGCAGTCTGAGGGCTCATTCATACTTTTTGTCTGTTTGTGGTGCTTGATTCTCACCTCCTTTTTGCCTCTCTGTGATCATAGAATCAATCATCTTTTATGACTTTGGCCTGTGTCTGTGGCTGGTCTGCTTTTACCAATCCCCCCCCCCCCCCCCAATTCATGTGTCACAAACAGGGGGCACAATCACAGATAGGGCATTTTCTGCTGGAGTGCTAAGTGCCTGTTTAACAAGAGCAGCAGGAAGATACAACAAAGAACTCTACTGAACTCTGGATGGACTGCAAGCAAAACACCCTGGGAAACGTCTCCTACAAATCGGATTCCCACTCCACGTACCTTTTAATATATGCCCCCTCTACTCCTCCTTTTCATATTAGTATCCTCTGTTCTCAAAATCTCATTCCTTTACCCCTCTGCTCCCCTCCAAAACCCCGTATTACCCTCACTTCTGCCATCTCCCTACTACTGCTCTCATCGCCTCCTGCTAATTTTTAACCCACCTGCTGACCCAAACACCAGGACAGGAGGGCATGTGCACTCATTTACATCCCACTCCCAACTTACTTTCCTCACCCTCCTTCTTCTTCTAACCTCTGGGGATATCTCCCCAAACCCTGGTCCTCCAGTATCTCACCCCTGCACCAGGCACCCTCCTTCCTCCAAGAATAGCCGCAATCTACTCAATTTAATCTCAATCCCCCTGCTCCTAAAAACCGCCCTCCCTATTTCATGTGCTCTCTGGAATGCCCGCTCTGTCTGTAATAAGCTCACCTCTGTCCATGACCTTTTTGTCTCCCACTCCCTTAATCTACTAGAAATTACAGAAACCTGGCTTCAAGCATCAGATTCTGCTTCTCCCGCAGCACTTTCCCATGGAGGCCTCCACCGGACTCACTCACCCAGACCCAGTGGTCAGAAAGGAGGTGGAGTTGGTTTGCTTCTATCCCCATTGAGCATCTTTCAAGTCCTCCCTAACCCTCCCTCTCTATCCTTCTCTTCTTTTGAGACTCACTGTATTTGGCTGTTTTCTCCCATTTCTCTTGAGGATTGTAGTGATCTATCTGCCTCCTGGACCAGTGTTGCGCTTTCTTGATGACTTCTCTGCCTGGCTACCCTACTTTCTCTCCTCTGAAATACCCACTATCATTCTTGGTGATTTTAATATCCCGATTAATGTTAACAACCCAGCTGAATTCCCAACTCTTCAACCTAACCTCATGTTTTGCCCTAACACAATGGACACAGTCCTCCACTCACTCTGATGGGAATACCTTGGACCTTGTTTTCTCCCATCTTTGCACTCCCTACAACCTCACAAACACCCCCTTTCCTCTCTCTGAACACAATCTCATCACCTTCACAGTGTCCTCATCTTCAGACACCTCTCCCTCCAAGCAGCAAACAATTACCCGCAGAAACCTTCACAACTTTAAGCCTTCTCTTTTCTACTCTGCAACTGACCAACTCTATGACATAATCTCTCCCCTGTTGTGCCCTGACTTGGCCACTTCTGTCTACAACAGTTCACTTTCATCCACACTAGACTCACTTGCTCCTCTAACTACACTAAGTATCAGGCCTCGACTATTATAACCTTGGCAGACTGACAACACCAGAAATCTTAAGAGACATACCCATGCACTGGAGCGATTATGCTGTAAGACCAAATCCCAGTCTCTTCTATGCTTTTAACTCTCTACTTTCTCCACCTCCACCCAGTAATTCACTCACTGCTTACGAGATTGGCAATCATTTCAAAAACAAGATTGATGCAGTTCATGGGGCATCTCCACTGCACACGCACCTATCCTTTTTAGCATACCTTATTACCTTATACTAAACCTCCCTCAACACTTTCCTCTGTTGACCTTGCTACTACTGAAGAGGTCACAAAAGTTTTCTCAGAAGCCCATCTTACCACTTGCTCCCTTGATCCTGTTCCCTCACAAATACTAGTCACCCTCTTCTTCTATCCTATGTATCCTATGCTCCCTCACTCACATCTTCAATCTCTTCCTCTCTACTGGTGCCTTCCCCTCCCCTCTAAAGCATGCACAGATCACTCCCATACTTAAAAAGCCCTCACTGGACCCCACCAACCTGAACAATTTAAGACCCATCTCCCTGCTTCCATTTACCTCTAAACTCTTAAAACGCCTAGTCCACAATCGTCTGAGTTCCTACCTCAGTGACAACAACCTTCTTGACCCTTTACAGTCCGGCTTTCTCTCACTACACTCCACTGAAATTGCCCTACTAAAACTCACTAATGATTTACTAACTGCTTAAACCAATGGCCACTACTCCGTACTCTTACTACTTGACCTCTCTGTGGCTTTTGATACTGTTGACCATCCTCTCCTCCTCAAAAAAACTCCACTCTCTTGGCCTCCAAGACTCTGCCCTCTCCTGGTTCTCCTCCTACCTATCGCAGCGCTCCTTCAGTGTTACCTATAACTCTGTCTCCTCCTCTCCACTTCCTCTTTCTGTAGGGGTCCCTCAAGGTTCTGTCCTTGGACCCCTTCTCTTCTCCATCTACACCTCCTCCCTTGGTCACTTGTAAAACTCCCATGGCTTCAAGTACCATCTCTATGCTGATGACACACAAATCTATCTTTCTACTCACCTCACCCCTTCAGTCTCTTCTCGCATTATTAAGTGGCATATCGGCATGGATGTCACTCCACTTCCTCAAACTCAATCTTTCTAAAATTGAACTCATAATATTCCCTCCAGCCCGTGCCCCCTCCCCTGACTTCTCCATCAAGATCAATAATACAACCATCAGTCCCCCCCTCATGCCAAGGTACTAAGTGTAATCTTGGACTCCCATCTATCCTTCTAGCCCCCAAATCCAATCACTGTCCAAATCTTGTAGACTTCACCTCTGTAACATCTCCAAGATACACCTGTTTTTAACCTCTGAAACTACTAAGCAACTTATTCACTCCCTTGTTATCTCTCGCCTTGACTATTGTAACTCCCTCCTCATTGGCCTACTCATCGCAGGCTATCCCCTCTTCAGTCTACCATGAATGCTGCTGCCAGACTCATCCACGTTACTAAGCATTCCATATCTGCCATCTCTCTATGCCAATCCCTCCACTGGCTTCCCATTGCCCAACAAATAAAATTAAAAACATTCACAATAACATATAAAGCCATTTATAACTCTGCCCCAAATTACATCACCAGTCTTGTCTCCAAATATCACCGTCCTCTAAGCTCCTTCCACGATCTCATGATCTCTAGCTCCCTTAACTTCTCCCATGCTCGTCTCCAGGACTTCTTTAGAGCCTCCCCCATCCTCTGGAACTTTCTACCCCAATCTATCCGACTATCGCCTACTCTACCCACTTTTAGACAAACTTATCAGTTCATCCCCCACAGTTACTACCTTTTGTACCACCAGCCCCTCCGTCTTAGATTGTAAGCTCCAAGTAGCAGGGCCCTCCTATCCCTCTTGTATTGAACTGTATTGATGCTGTATTGTTTCCCGTTATATTGTAAAGTGTTGAGCAAACTGTTGGCGCTATATAAATCCTGTATAATAATAATAATACCAGGAGGTGTGTCCGAGCGCTCCCACGTGTTTTAGCAGGTGTGAACGTACATACACTTACTAAATGCATGAGGGTGTTAAGAATTTATGGCATCCATGCATGTCTGAATAAGGCAGCGCATTTTTGTGCTATATGGGATTCTCGGGAATATGCACGTTTTACAGCACTATACTTGGTGTGAGCAATCCCTATAATGTAATGTTGTGAGGCAGAGTTCATTGATCTGTAGGTTGTAAACCTTCTTCCCCAAAATTCCCCTCCTAGCACGAATCCCAACCCCATCCCAATCCTTCCTCCTAGCACAACCCTCTCCCAAAATCACCCTCCTAGCACAGCCATTGCTGTCCAATTTCCAATCCTTCAGAAGTCTTGACAGCGGCAGAGAGGAGGAGGGAGCCTGGGGGTGTGGGTTGTGCTCTCTCTCCCCAACCCTGCCCCCCAGCTCCAATCCCCTCCTGTACATTTTGATCTGAGCGATCGTATGTTAACTCCAGTTCACAGAGGAGGCAGAGAACTCAGCCAGTACTTCCTCCTGGCTCTCTCCTCCTTCCCGCTGCTATCTGTACTTTTACTGGCAAAACTAAAAGCTGTGCTGACCAATGGGGAGGAGGAGGTGCAGGCTGAACTCTCTGCCTCTTCTGTGCACAGGAGTTAACATAGGATCACACAGATCCGGTTGTTGTCACGGCACCCCTGCAGACCCCTTACAGCACCCCAGGTCGAAAAGCACTGCTCTAGAACAATGTGTGTATAAACAACATCATTTAAGTTGGATGATTATGTTTTGATCAGACAGCCACCAGCATCAGCCTTATCTTGGAGGAATGACTTGATCAGCTTAGAAAACGCAAAAGATCTGATTGTCACTGTAATGGATAGATTGGGAGACACATTATAGTTACTTAATCTTAACATAGTTTACATTTTAACAAATTTACAGCACTTCTTAAGACAGAAGGTATTTGCATACATCACATATCCCAAAAATAAGAGGATTACTCCTCATTTTGGAACAGTGGGCGGAGCCGCATAAATCTTTACGTCCCATCAACCAGATGCCCATCCAGAACCACTAGTGTATAGGGCAAATATAGGCTAATGTTAGATATCCATTTATTTCAAACTGCTCATAGCTGTTTTAGGCTTTTGGCCATCGCCGGTACAGTGTATGGAAAGTGTATGGAAAATATGGCTTCTTTGGAGTAGAGCCTAATGAGCCAGTATAACTTGCATGAAAACAAAATCCCCATTTCTTTACTGTTCCAGTACCCTGACAGTCACAATCTGTGATGTGTAAAGTACAATGTTACATACAGTAGTTGTTTAACAATGAATTGGTTTATTCTTCCAGGTACTCCTATACAAAATGATCTACAGGAGTTTTTTGCTTTGATAAACTTCGTTAATCCAGGAATACTTGGATCTTTGTCTACTTACAGAAAAATATATGAGGAACCTATTTTACAATCCCGTGAACCTTCGGCATCCAAAGTAAGTACAAAAAGCACAATGTATAGCATTCCAGGCATGATCAGGGTGCTCAGGGAGCCTTTGGCACCTCCAAACTGTACAGTTATGTAGTTTCATGCTGCCATGCACAATTACTCAAAAACTTGTGACATAAAAATAGAAGTAATTAGATAGACACCTAGGCTGCTGGATGTACCACCATCCTGCACTGCCTTTCACAGAAGACCTTATTTGCTTTTTCTGTAATGTAATAGAAAGTTGATTTAATAGTTTTTTCCTTACTTTGTTTAATGTATTGTAAAAGCCTAACTTAATGTTTTAGTGAACTTTTAAATAGTTTGCTTGATCCAGACAAACTGTTTCTTTCACTAACACTTGCAGTGGCTGTCAGTGTTCTATGAACTGTATGTATCTGAAGCTACACACAGTATACAGAGGTGTGTTCTGACAGCAGGACAGGGACTTCCTGTCCCACTCCTAGAATGAAAATGACTCAACTCAGTGCTGCTCAGCCATTCACAGTGAAGATGGCCATAGATGAATCGAAATTCGTTAGGGACCCTCTCCCTTTTTGTGAATTAAATTTTATCGTTGTTTTTAATACAATGCAAATAAATTGTATGTTTTATGACAAGGATGTGCTATCTTGTGAGGTACCTTTAAAGTTCAATATTGTAGAGTAACAGGTTATGTTTCTCTAATTGGGATGTGTACTGTGCACCATCCTCTAATCAACTGCTCCAAGCCCAGGAACTTTCTGCCTTTCCCTTTCTTGCATATCCCTGGTCTTGCTGAGACTTGTAGTTCCAAAACTCTCTGCAGCACCAGGTATAGTCTGTTTGGGGACTACATCTCCCACAAGTGCTTGCTCCTCCCAGCAGACTCTGTCTTTTCTTAGACTGCACAGCAAAATCATTACTGCTTCTTAGTTTTCCCAGGTTGTGGGCTCCTCAGGCTGCACACAGTCCTGCAGCCTCTGTGTCCTTCTCTCTTCTTCCACAGCTGCTCTGACTCGCTGGCGGCTTGAGAGGAGGTTCAGGGACAGCAGTGACAGTAGTAGTCCGGTCTGTGCTGCAGGGCAGCACTGAGGGCGGAGCGTACTTATTTAATACATGACAAGGGGTTCCCATGGTACTATGGGTTAGCTAAAGAGAAGGCACTGCTGATGAATCATTAAAAAGCTCCTTTCATTATATAAGCAAACTGAGAGCCTTTATATATAAAAGGCCTAACCTCACTTGTCGGCTCCATAGTTGAAAGAAATTTACACAGCTATAGAGCATTTTCTTCAATCAGCCAAATGTACAGTTTACATAAATTTAACTGTTTTTCTTTGCAGCTTCCCATGTCACTTGTCCTTCTTTGGTTTGCACATTAGATGAGTCAGCATTGTTACGCTGCCGATGCATCGTCCAGTAAGCAGGTGTATGGCCTTGGAAGCTGTAAAGCTGAACGAGGAAACAGCAGAAAGAGGAAAGGATGGCGGCTATTCCTGACCAGCCAAGGTGAATAAACGATAAAGAGCGGCCTCAGCCTACATGTCTCCACCAAGCCACACTCCCTGATGCATTTTGCCCCACCTACTGGGGCTTAGTCATAACTAAGCCCTGGTGGGTGGGGTGAAATATATCGGGGTGTGTTGTTTGGTGGAGAAATGTATGCTGAGGCCGTTCTTTATTGTTGGTTTACCTGGGCTGGTTGGGAGCAGTGCCGATCCTTTCCTCTTTACACTAACTATTGGAAAGTCCTTCACCTCATGACCTGGGACACAGGGATATATGCTTTCATCTCTACTGAGCAGAATCAAAAGCAATGTAACAGCTTGCAAGGAAATAGTCACCTGTCTGCTTGTCATGTGTGTCAGAAGCATGTGAAACACAAGACCGGCTGAACAGCATAACACATCCATTGGCAGCATTAAGCTTTTACTTCTGATTCTGGTTTTATTTTCCATAAAAGGGTCAGATATATCAAAGGCTAAACTCAAGAGACAGTGGTGTTAACTAATCAAATATCTTGTGGTTTCGTTGCTTTAAAGATTATTTATCTATTGCAGTGTTTTTACTTCAGAAATATATTTGAAAGTATTGAAGAACAGAGACCAGTCTACCGAAGCTTCTTAGTGGCTGTCTCTCATTGTGTGTTTGCAGTGAAGAGAAGAAAGGGTTTGTTGTCACTGTAGGAGCTGGAACTCGCCATCGTCCCTTTAAAGTGTTCTGACTATACTGTAGTGAGCGGTGCTCCCTGTGACCCAATCATTTATTCTGCACTTGTGAGCTGAACTGTTTATCAAATTTACTGTTTCCTTTCATGCTAAACTGTCTTCTGGTTTTTCCGTGGTTTAGGAACAAAAAACTTTAGGAGAAGAAAGAGCTTCAGAACTGGCTCGTGTGACAGGCCTTTTTTATTCTCCGAAGAACACAGGAGGTCATTAATAAATTCCTCCCTCCAAAGATTGAGAGCATAGTCTTCTGCAAGCCATCCATGTTTCAGCTTGATTTGTACAGAAGGCTTCTCAACTCTGGTCTTGTAAGATCTTGTTTGCTAGGGCTGGGGGAGAACAGCCCCCACCTGGTCTGTATCGGTGCACTCAAGAAACTTTGTAACCACCCTATCCTTCTCTACAAGACGCTCCAGGTCAGTGGGATGCCTGTGCAATGGTGATACTACACAAAATACACTTACATACATGCAGTTAGGCCTCAGGCATAATTAAATGCCTATTACTATACACACATTAGGTGCTTCCACACATGTCTGAGGTATAACAATCTTTTTGGAGGCATTTTTTCAGTTTAAAATTCGATACCAATATAGGTTTTTTACGGTAGTGGTCAACTTACTTCATATAGGGGGCTTATGTGTGGCTCCTGATATCATCAAATGGCCACACGTAATATTGTAGCACTTTATCCGAAGGAGCCACTAGTTAAGATAGGCCCTTTCCTCTTTGCCTCTGCCTCCTCAAGGGTCTTAGCCCTTCTGATACACCAGGTTGAGCAGAAAAAAAAGCAAGCAGGCACAGTGAGATACAGCAGATAACTCATATTGCTCAATAACAAAGCTACTTTGAAAACAGGCACTGAAGCAGTTAACAAGGGTAAACGTGTACTGTATTATTACTCAGTAAAACTGATAACCAGGCAGGCACAAGTAGGTTGGCAATTGTGAGAACACAATGCAACATAAACAAAAAGGCTAACAGTGAGGGCTAGATATAAGAGACACAAACTGTCCAGACCAGTATAAACAGTAGCAATGCCACCTAAAATGCGACAGTGAGCAGTAATAAGACTTGATCTAACAATATACTGTAGGAGCTATACTGCCAGTGTTCACTGATGATGTCAATGTTAGGATTAAATTGTCAAATTTGAGCAACATAGACAATGGGGGAGGAGGAATGAGGGCCATTTTAAATTAAGGATGGTGCACTTATATTAGTTCTTCATGACAATAGGTGCAACACAGTTCAGTGAAGGGCAGGATAGAAGCAGTCCAAAGATAATAATTAAGTATAACTGCAGCTCTGATTTGGCAGTGGTGTTGTATGGATTTGAATGTGGTGAGGTTCCAGCTTGCTATGAATGAATGTGGCTTGGGTGCTGTAACAGTCCTGCTTTTGCGCATGGTATATTGGGGCCTATAGTTCAGAAAGCCAGTTATACCTGTGCAAAGCTGCTGCCTCGAACTACACGTTCCAGGTGTTCTGCATTGAAGTCTTTAGGTTCACTAGACTTGGATCTCCTCCTGCTGGTCAGAGGAGGGTTGTGCAAACCACCATCAACAACACAAAAAAGGGAAAGTAAGTAGAAAGCAATGTCTCCTTCTCCATACTGCCATAATCCAGCATCTGGCTACAATATTCAGTAAATATAATGTTACAGAAGGCTGTAAAAGACTGCAGGCATGCAACAGGAGATAGTCAAGAGAGTATAGGAATTTTACAATGCTACAGGGGACAGTGAGAGACTGCAGACATGCTGCAGGAGATGGTCAGAAACTGGAGACACATTTCATTAGACTTCTAGAGGTCACACCTATTACTTCAACCCCTTTACAAATTAACTTTTTATTTGTGCTGCGAACAGTCCGCCTAAAAATTACTTGTCCCACATTTACCAATACTCACAACATGATCTATTATAAAAGAACAGAAAAAATATAAAAAGAGAGAATAGATGAACAGCACAGGAAAAAAGTAGGATAGTGTGAAGAATAAACCAAGCTATTTAAATTCTAGAACCCAGTTTAAAAATATTTTCCTTCACTGGTCGCAGAATAAGTGCCAAAGGGCTGCCGGTTGGGCACCAGGGGTCTATTTAAAATTTTGGATACATTTGTTTCATAGGTATGACACAGTCTTATTTTTTATATTTCATGTCGATGTTAGCATATTTAATAAAAATATAGTTTTGCTCACCCTTAGCACAATGTCATTGAAAGTCCAAAATTAGATCTGCTATATTTTTTTTTCAAAAAGTACTCTGCTGTCTGAAAATGTATAATTTGCAGGTCCGCCATAAAAATTGAAGTCAGTTTTAGTACATTTTCATATGTGTGTGAAAGATGAAAAAAATTGTCCTGGCAGCAGTAAAGTTAAAGTACATCTAAAGGCTTCTGTATGACTGTTTAAGCAAGTTCTACATCTATTTACTATGTGATGCACAAGCCTCATGAAGTCAACCAAAAACCTCTCTGTACCTATCTTGACTGAGCCAAATCCTCCTTCATGTGTGTGTCACATGTTTCCACTACCAGACACTGCAGCTTAAAGTGGGAGATGTTCAGCAGCCAAAGCAGTGTGTCTCACATGCTTCCCCTACCAGACACTGCAGCTTAAAGCAGGAGACATTCAGCAGCCAAAGCAGTGTGTCTCACATGCTTCCCCTACCAGACACTGCAGCTTAAAGCGGGAGACGTTCAGCAGCCAAAGCAGTGTGTCTCACATGCTTCCCCTACCAGACACTGCAGCTTAAAGCGGGAGACGTTCAGCAGCCAAAGCAGTGTGCTGCATGCTTCAATCTAGAAAGCAGCTTAAAGCGGGAAAGGACTATAGCATGATATAGAAATGTGATTCTCTCTCCTTCCACCATCGGTGGTGGAAGGAAAGAAAATTGCTTGATTCCCCCATCAACACTGATGCTGAATCCTTCCCGCAGCTCTATTGTGTTCTGCCGCCAGGGAGCCTTCCTGGCGACTATAGCCGCCACCAGTAATTGCACGTAGAAAATCCGACGGGTTGGTTGTACCCAAGTCGATCAATAGATCGACTTCAGCACAACCTGCCTGCCCATAAATGGATCGAATCTTGGCTGGTTCCTGCTGAACTGTTTGAGATTTGATCCATCTTTGGCTGGCTTTAGCGCGTCCAGGTGCTGACTGACAGACTAAAGGGCTCAGAATCAGCATTGACAAGGCTGATAGCCACATCCCCTGCAACATCTCATCTCACTCTAGTGCAAGCAGGCACAACCTTCTTATGAGTGGCAATGATTCTCTGAATTCAGGAGCAGTACTGCATTGTTGGTGCACCATGTAAGCTAATTACAAATTTCACTGTAGAGGTGGCAAGCAATAATAGTTATTTCTTTCACCAGGGGAAGACTACAAATCCAAACAAGGAGGAAACGAGCTTTTATGAAAGTTTAAGTGATCTATTTCCACAAAGTTATAATACAGAGGAAGTATTAGAGTCTGAGTCTGGAAAACTACAGGTTTTAATGAAGCTTTTACAAGCAATAAAAGAGCACAGTCTGTCTGAGAGGTAAACATATATGCAGAAAGATTTTTAGGATCTGTGTAGATGGGCTTTTGTTTGTGTCAGTACGGCTTCTGTCCAGGTACAAGACCATAGGAATGCAAAAGCAGCACAAAGCAGATTGAAACAACATAGAAGATCAATGCAGGTCAGTAGATTAACTGCAAGCCAAATTATCTTGTCAGTTAATTCTAAATCTTGCCATACACTGAACAAGGTGGGCTGAATGAAAAAAAAAAAAAAACAGATTCCTCCAGCCACGCAAACAGGCGGATAGAGGAACCCCCCCCCCCCCCCCCCCCCCCCCACCCCCACCACCACCACCAGGCCATTGTGTTCTGGCAGCAACCCCTGCAGTTGGAAAAATACTGTACACTGATGAGCAGCTGCAGCCACTGGTCGACAAAGGTTTTCCAGCATGTCCCTTCGACAGAAGTCAATCAAACACTCTACTTCTGTCGAGTAGGGATGTGCACACGTTGATCAGAATTCAACCAGTTCCCACTTAACCATTTGCATTTCAGTCATTGTATGGTCAGCTTAAATTATCTTAGGTTGCTTGCATATCAATTAAATGAAAAAAGATGTAGAAACTCAGGTTTTATGTATTTATTCATTGTCCTATACATATTACAGATAAATATTAATCACAGCATGAGCGTATGGCACTCTGCTTGAAAAATATTTCAGGCTTTCATATAATTTATTTGCAATTTTGAAATGTCTTAGAGCATTTTTACACCCTGCTGTTTTAAGCCATTTCCTGGTTTGTCACTTCCTAAGAGATGATTGTTGCGAACCCAAAGAAAACAAAAGAATGTAAAATGCTTGTATTAGTTTTCAAGTACTTTAAAAACATTCTACTTACCATGGAGGCACAAAACATAACACATTGGCTGATTTACTAAGGAATATGGCATGTTATCCTTGAATTTTCCATAGCTTAGAAAATTTATTTATTACAGGTGCTTATATAGTGCCATCAATTTCTGCAGTATTTTACATATTTATTGTACATTCACATCAGTCCCTGCCCTGTCGCTGGCATAATACGCAGGGTAGAGTGTCATGCTTCCAATCTTTCTTGCCATACAGCCTCTCAGAAGCATTTCCCCGCTGCTGCTGCTCCTGTTTTCAAAGAGCAGAGTGGATCTTTAAACCATTCCTACTGCTCGCCTACAGTGACTTGGGTTACCTCCAGCCATTTGACCCTACAGTCAGACCCTCACCTACCAACTCTGGGTTTCATAAGTGCTCAAGGTCTTGCCATTTACCCTAACCATTACCCTTGCTTCTTCCAGTGTTCTCCAAATTCTGCATGGAGATTGGAAGCACCCTGATAAGTTGTTTGCTTCTCCAACTGCTTATTAGCTTTGCATCTGCTTTGCAAGAATTTTGTTCAGAAATGGTCCATTGCCACTGTGGATCAGGCTATTTCTGGCCTTAACAAGGCCAACTACCATACTGGTGAAGAATGCACCTGCTTTTAAGGACCAAACCAATAAGCAGTTGGATGTCCTTTACAGAGCTTTGTTCTCGCTAGTGGGTCCTGTACCCAATTCTGGCTGTGACCTTACTTTTCAAACCATGACTGGTCAAAATCCCTTAAAAAGGATCTAGCCACTGCTGCAGGTGATCCCTTGCTTATTGAATGCATGAAGCAAATGGTTATAGTGTTACATTTATGCTGTGATGGTTTTCTGGAAGCCTCCTGTGTTATCTCTCACATGTGCCTCCTGTCAGAGCATTTGCAAAGTACTGAACAGCTGAAAGAAGTGTTTGATCTGCATGGCATTCAAGGGACAACAGCCATTTTGATCAGATCTTGGTAATATCATCAAGGATGCCACAGCGGCAAGAACACCCATTTTTCCTTAGCTGAAGAAGCCTAAGGAACAGGTTATGAAGTAATCTCCCTCACAGCATGTCAAGAAGCAGCCCTTTTAGATTTCTATTCAAATTCAGCATTGATTCCCTTCAATCACCTGCCTTCACTAGGGAGACATTCTAGCTTCTGTGGACATCAGAGATACTTACTTGCTCTCATCTTTTCAGCCTATCAGCAATTCCTACAGTTCTTGGCCCTGCCTTTTGGCCTCTCCTTTCCACCTTGGGTGTTCACCAAGATGCTGGTCCCAGTGTTAGCCCTCTTGCATTCTCTTAGCATCCCTATTGTCAGATGTTTGGATGACCTCCTGTTGTGGGAGCCAGAATTCTTGCTGTGGCCAGAGAGGTAAAAGTGGATCCTTGTCAGCCATGTACACAGTGGTGTATTTAGACTTTGTGCTGCCCTAGGCAACACAAGAATTTTGAGCCCCCCCCCCAATGAGAGAGCGTGAGAGTCAAAAAGTGTGTATGTATGTAAATATATATATATGATTCTCTCTCTCTCTTCCCTCTCTCTTCCCTCTCTCTTTATCCCTTTCTTCCCTCTCTCTTTATCCCTTTCTTCCCTCTCTCTCGTCCCCCTCTCTCTCCCCCTCCCGCTCTCTCTTCCTTCTCTCTCTCTCTTCCCCCCTCTCTCCCCTCCCCTCATTCTCGCCCCCCCCGAGAGAACCCCCCCCACTTCTCGCCCCCCTCTTTCTCTTTTCCCTCTCTCTTCCCTCTCTCTCTTCTCTCTCTCTTTCCCCCCTCTCTCTCTCTTCCCTCTCTCTCTCCCCGCCCTCTCTCTTCCCCCACCCTCTCTCTTCCCCCTCTCTCTTCCCCCTCTCTCTTCCCCCTCTCTCTTCCCCCTCTCTCTTCCCCCTCTCTCTTCACTCTTTCCCCCTCTCTCTCCCCCCTCTCTCTCTTCCCCCTCTCCCCCTCTCTCCTCCCCTCTCTCTCTCTCTTCCCCCTCTTTCTCTCTCTCTTCATTCCTTCTCTCTTCACCATCTCTCTCTTCCCTCTATCTCCTCTCTCTCTCTCTTCCCCCTTCTCTCTCTCTTCTCCCCTCTCTCTCTATCTTCCCTCTCTCTCTCTTCCCCTCTCTCCCCCGCTCTCTCCCCCCGCTCTCTTCCCTCTCTCCCCCCGCTTTCTTCCCTCTCTCTCCTCTCCCTCTTTCTCTCTCTCTCTCTCTCTCTCTCTCTCCCCTCTCTCTCTTCCCCCCCTTTCTCTCTCCCCCCCTCTCTCTTTTTTCTCTCTCTCTCTCTTCCCTCTCCGTTTCTCACATCGTATGGGGCTGCACACACACACCTCCTCCAAGAGCTGCTGATCTCCGTGCAGCAAGAAGGAGGGGGGGAGGTGTGTGCAGTCCCATACGATCTGTCAGTGCAGGGAGGGAGACAGGGAGATCCCACAGACCACAGCTCAGCTCACCTCCTTTGGATCCTCTCCTCTCCCTGCTCCAGGCTGTCCTCTGGTCCCGGCTTGTCAGCTGCTGAAGGGAGAGGTACAGGAGCATCGCTCTGCAACTGCCCTCCCCCACATTGATCCTCCTGCTGTCCGGGCCACTGCAAGAGTACAGAAGGTACCCCTCTGATGGCGGCTCTGCATGGCTCTGTCCGCCGCTGCTCTCAAGGTCACTTCTTCCGGGGGGCGGTGCCGCCCCTCTAAAAATTGCCGCCCTAGGCAAATGCCTTGTTTGCCTTTTGGTAGATATGCCCCTGCATGTACATTTCAAGGGTTAAATGCTTGGCAGGCAGATTTCTTCAGCTGACATATTCTGGGCCTGGGATAAGTGATGTCCCTACTCCTGGAGGTGTTCCGGGACATGTGTCAGAGATGGGATAATTTTGATGAGGACGTCTAGCCTCCTGGTTCAACAACAAACTGAAAAGGATCATGTCCAGGTACAGGGATCCCCAGGTGGAAGCAGTGGATGCTCTGTTGGCTCTGTGGAAATAGTACACCTTAATCAATGGATATCATAATTTGAAATTCCTTCCTCGTCTGCTTTGAAGGATCAAGATGGAAGGCATTCCTGTGATCCTCATTGCTCCAGACTGGTCCAGGCTGATGTGGTACACTGACCTGGTAAGACTTCTGGGTCATGCCATTCTGTCGGGATCTGCTGTTCCAAGGGCAGATTTGCCATCCTGTTCATGGTCCCATGCTTGGCTGTTGGAGCCCAGGGAAGTGGGCATCTCAGAGTCTTTGTTATCTACAGTGCTCAATGCTAGAAAGGTTACTTCCCCGCAAAGTCTATAGTTGGGCTTTGAAGGCATGTTTCACTTGGTTTGAGTCCAGGAGCTTTTCCACCCCAGAAACTTCCACGTGGGATGAATCCTAGCCTTTATGCAGCTGGGTCTGGACCAGCATCTGGCTCTCAGCACTATCGAAAAAAACTGATTCCCTTTTGTCATTTCAAACGGGCCCTGGAAGGATGCCCGGCTTCTCATTTCACCATTTCTAGGTGGCTTGTGATGATGTAACTGGGTCTAAAATAGGGTATGTAATATAAACAGGCTTTATTTAAACATTTCATTAGCATGGTCGTGAAGGGTGAAGGGAGGAAACATGGAAGGCATATTGAGCTTCAAGTTTAATCATAATTTGTTTTAATATTTTGTTTACATTCCAGATGTATAACCTGCATTTGCTATGTATTTCCAGAGTAGTCCTTGTGTCAAACTATACCCAAACGTTAAATATATTGCAAGCACTGTGCCAACAACACGGGTACAGTTGCACTAGATTGGATGGACAGACACCAGTCGGTCACAGGCAGCGCATAGTGGATGGATTTAACAGCAAATATTCCTCGGATTTCATCTTCCTTCTGAGTTCAAAAGCTGGTGGTGTGGGCCTAAACCTGATTGGAGCATCCCATTTAATTCTGTATGATATAGACTGGAATCCTGCTAATGACATACAGGTCTGTTACCCAATATCAGTCCCAGTCCAAATTGTTTCAATAAGAAAACATTGCATTATTTGTTATTATTCAAAATGTATTTGATGTTTTAGGTTTAATTTTTTTACCAGGGTGGATTTGATTTAAATCAAACTGATTTAAATCACTAGTCAGTAAGGCTTGATTTAAATCATAGTTTTCTACATAGACTAATTCTTGCTGGTATAACTTTAATATGCAAGTAGATGAAGATTTTTAGAATAACAACTTTTCATATTAGTTTTTTTATCCCCAGTTTAATAGGTTAATCATTCATATTTGGACAACTTTTCTGTTGTACTTAGGAAGGAGAAAAATAATCATTACCTTAATAATAACAATTTAAATAGATTTATTCAACGGAAACCATAACATTACAGCATATGTTATTTGCCTAAACCAGGGGTCTGCAACCTTTAAGACATAAAGAGCCACTTGGACCCGTTTCCGAAGGGAAAAAAAAGACTGGGAGCCGCAAAACCATTGCAACATTTATAACAAATCCGACACTGCATGTATTGCAAAAAGCACTCTAGTCATGAAGGGGGTTTAAGGGCCCAGTAAGCAAAGGGTTAATCAGGGCCACAGTGTATCTTCATAATCACAATCATAGCCTTAGGTCAGTGGTGGGCAACCTTTTTTTTCAACTGAGCCAAATCTCGCCAAAACCACGATTGAAATTTATTTTGACAGCCACATTTTTAAAACTGAAAATACATCCCCCATATAGTAATTCATCCCCCATAGTAAATTCATCCCCCATATAGTAATTCATCCCCCATAGTAATTCATCCCCCATATAGTAATTCATAATTCATCCCCCATATAGTAATTCATCCCCCATAGTAATTCATCCCCCATATAGTAATTCATCCCCCATATAGTAATTCATCTCCCATAGTAATTAATCCCCCATATAGTAATTCATCCCCCATATAGTAATTCATCCCCCATATAGTAATTCTTCCCCCATAGTAATTCATCCCCCATATAGTAATTTCCCCCATCCCCCATATAGTAATTCTTCCCCCATAGTAATTCATCCCCCATATAGTAATTCATCCCCCATAGTAATTCATCCCCCATATAGTAATTCATCCCCCATATAGTAATTCATCCCCCCATAGTAATTCATCCCCCACATAGTAATTCATCCCCCATAGTAATTCATCCCCCATAGTAATTCATCCCCCATATAGTAATTCATCCCCCATATAGTAATTCTTCCCCCATAGTAATTCATCCCCCATATAGTAATTCTTCCCCCATAGTAATTCATCCCCCATATAGTAATTCTTCCCCCATAGTAATTCATCCCCCACATAGTAATTCATCCCCCCATAGTAATTCATCCCCCCCATAGTAATTCATCCCCCACATAGTAATTCATCCCCCACATAGTAATTCATCCCCCACACAGTAATTCATCCCCCACATAGTAATTCATCCCCCATATTGTCTCAATTCACTTACCTTTGCTCCGCGCGTTCCTCTCGCTGTGTTCCCGCGCCGTTCTGGTCTTCAGGGCGGACTGAGAGAGGAGTTCGTCACTCTGCCCCGCCTACATCCTGGCTGCCCCACCTACATCCTGACAGCCAATGTTCCACGCTCCGCGGGCCGGATTTTTGAGGAGGGAGGGGAGCGGGCGCCCGGCACACAGAAGAGCCGCATGTGGCTCGCGATCTGCGGCTTGCCGACCACCTGGTGGGCAGTGTGCTCCGGAGCCCACAGCAAAGATGAAAAAGAGCCGCATGCGGCTCTGGAGCCGCGGGTTGCCGACACCCGGCCTAAACAAACATCCATGTTTGTTAACTAATTTGGCTAAACAAAATATATATATTTTTAAGAAACTTAGACTGTCAGCCCCTTCCTCCTCACACTTAGTTTCACTTTCTTCTTGTGCACATCTATTCCACTCCAAACAATCAGAAAAATATTGTTTCTATTCTATTCACTGAACTTCTTGAAACAGCACTGAAGGGGTTGATTCTGTATTCATAGGTTTGTAGAAGTTAGGATTAAGGTCTTTTTCTTAACTCTGTTCATGTTATAACATTTTTGCTGTGAAGAAGAGGCATGTGATCTCCGCTGAGTCAAATTCAGTTTTGACAACTGCAAAAGTAAACCAAGCATCTGTGATAATATCTTGTAGGCAGAGAAACTGCCCAATAATCTTACAAAAACCTCTGGAAGAGCATGGCATTGTGAATGGATTAATGGAATTTATTTACCAAAAAAATTAAACATATACAGCCTTATTCTACATAATTAAAAAACTAATCTTTATTTCATGATGGAATAACCTTTGGATGGTAATATATTTTCCTCAAAAAGCATTTTATTCCAAAAAATCCGATTTAAATCAAAAAAAATCCGATTTAAATCAAAAAAATCTAATTTTTTTTAATTTTTTTTAAAAAATCATTGATTTTTATCCACCCTGTTTTTTACTGTTATTTAAAAAGCTCTGACATTCTTCAGCACTTTACAATGAGCACTGGACCATTCATGTCAGCCTCTGAACCTGAAGAGCTTACCATTTAATGTTTCCTCCTTAGGCATAATAGATTACACCATGTAAGCCAAAGCAAAATAAATATTGGATTTACCTGATGTAGTGTATTCACATTACTGAAAGTCAGTTCCTGAGTAGTTGTTTAGGATTGCTTTTACCTATTGTAATTTGCAGTAAGTTAAGCAATGAGCAGAAAGTATATATTATAAAAATATTAATGGGACTGATATTATTGTCACAATACCACATTCCTAATTATACAATACCATATATAAACCGTTAATCATGGTGGATTTTAAAGGTACCAGATATTGTGTATAAGATAGTAAAATAATTTATAACCTCTTTATAAACTACAGAAATGAATTTGCTTGCATAAGAGATTAAAAACAGTCATATTTCACAAAATCACCCGCTATTACACATTTCTCTTTTGGGTTTATGTATGTGTATACAATATATACCGTGTGTGTATATATACAGTACTGTGCAAAAGGTAATGTTAACATTAACAGAAGAAAAATCTAAATAAAAACAATATTTGGTGTGACTACCCTTTGGCTTCACACTAGCATCAGTTCTAGGTACACTTGCACACAGTTTGTGAACGAACTCAGCAGGTAGGTTGTTCCAAACTTCTTGGAGAACTTCTGTGGATGTAGGCTGCCTCAAATCCTTCTGTCTCTTCATGTAATCCCAGACAGATTTCATGCTGTTGAGATCAGGGCTTTGTGGGGGCCAAACCATCACTTGTAGGACTTCTTGTTCTTCTTCATGCTGAAGATAGTTCTTAATGCCATTGGCTGTCATTGTCCTGTTGCTGAATATATTTGGGATCAATCACACACCTCCCTGATGGCATAACATTATCCATTCTGTCATATCAGGGAGGCGTGTGATTGCTTCCAAATTTATTCAGAAACAGGACAATGACCTCAAACATACAGCAAATGTCATTAAGAACTGTCTTCAGTGTAAAGAAGAACAAGAAGTCCTGGAAGTAATGGTTTGGCCCCCACAGAGCCATGAGATTTGAGGCAGTCTACATCCACAGAAGATCTGTGGTTAGTTCTCTAAGATGTTTGGAACAACCTACCTGCTGAAATTCTTTCAAAATCTGTGTGCAAGTATACCTAGAAGAATTGATGCTGCTTTGAAAGCAAAGGGTGGTCACGCCAAATATTGATTTGATTTGGATTTCTCCTCTCTTCCTTTACTCTCCATTTTGGTAACTGATAAAAAATAATTCATTAACTCTTCCTTTTCTTAAAGTAGTCATAATTTACAGCATTCACACCTGCCATAACTTTTGACCACGGACAGGTAAAGTGAATAACATTGATCATCTCATTACAATGCCATCTGAAAATGGGTGGGGATATATTAGGCAGCAAGTGAACATGTTGTCCCTAAACTTGATGTGTTGAAAGCAGAAAAAATGGGGAAGTGTACGGATTTGAGCAACTTTGACAAGAGCAAAATTGATATGACTAGACAACTGGGTCAGAGCAACTACAGCTCTTGTGGGCTGTTCCTAGTCCTTCAGTAGTCAGTACCTACCAAAATTGGTCCAAGGAAGGAAAGCTGGCGGACCGACAACAGGGTCATGGCCAGTCAAGGCTCACTGATGTGGAGTGAAGGCTGGCCTGTGTAGCCCGATCTACGAGAAGAGCTACTTTAGCTCGAATTGCAGAGAAAATGAATGCTGGTTCCAATAGAAAGGTGTATGTACAGTATAAGCACAGTTACCTCCAGTTGTCTCATACTCCACTTGATTGGCATATACACCTTATCAGTTCTTTGATTAACCATTTGTTAATCTACTGTAAGAAGACTGCTTCTCAAAGTGATTTTTCAGGAGGAGGTAATAGATCTATAATTGTTACCACACTAGTGTTTAATATTGTTAACAATATACAGTACATACAGTATATCTACTTACAAATTTGTATAATGCCCTCTATTAATAAGACACATACACTTCAACCAGGTATTTCACCAATGGAAGAGAAGTCGCAGGGGAATATAGTGCTCCTCAAGGGGCCATAGTTATGGCCTACAAAGATGTACTATGTAGCTGGAAAATGTCATCAAGCTAGGCCCCAGAAGACTGCAAATTATTTCATTTATTATTGTATAAAAAAATTGATCCTTGTTTTTAATACATTTTTAATTTAGTTTTAGATTTTGTCTCACTATAGAGGGGTTAATATATGTGGGTGGCTATTAAGGATGACACACTCCCCTGGCCCATTCTACATGTATTTTGATTGCCGCTTCCTAATCACATGATCTGAGGAAGGGACAGTCCCTGAAACATGTTATCATGTTGACCGGCTTCTCTTTTTTTTTAATGTGATGTGGTTTGAGTGCTCCCCTAGGCTTCCAGTTTGCCCTCACCGTCCCTTGTTTTGGCGGTCTCTAACCAGACGTATGACATAACAACCGGATCTGGGACACGTGACTTCCGGTGGATACGCCATCTCAGTGTTCCCAGCGGCTGCCATCTACACACCCTTCCCACTGTCCTGAGGCTCTTGGGCTGAGCAACCTATTGTTGGGTCCAGGATTATGTGTCATCCACTTACTTGGTGATGTATCAATCGGGGCACTCCTACATGTCATGCTTTTTAATCCAACATTAAAGTGAATTTCGATTTTAACTATTCCTGGGCTTGTGACTCTATTGACTTCCACAGGGTTGGGAGCGCTTCTTTATTTATTATATATTGTTTTTTACTCCTGTATCATTGCTTCTCAGATGAGTTGTTGGAGCTGCCCATACTGTGGTTATCTTGTTATCCCCTGGAACCTCATTGCGCTTGGTATTTGCACCTTTTTCCAGAAGACTGCAGGACCATTCACAATGTGCAGCGGGCACTCGGCTGTGAAGACGCAAGCTGTCACAGCTGGTTGCCCACACCTAATATGCCAGGGACAGAGGACAGCCGGTGAACCCAACTGGGGTGAGTAGGTCACTGGATCGAGGGACAGGTGAGTGGCTGTGTTTTTAAAAGTCAGCAGCTACAGTTTTTGTAGCTGCTGACTTTTATTTTTTTAACAGGAGACTGGAGCTCCGCTTTATAAATTTATTGTCAGATTGCATGATCTTCTTAGATCTTAGTCCCACTCAGATTCTGGGAGCACTGCTCAGATTACCAAAGGATGAAGGGAACCAAATAATCTCCATCAAACAAAAAGAGAAGCCATACATGAGACAAATAGAGGTTATTGTGTTCATGAGATACGATAGATATCGAAAAATTAGAAATATGTAACAGCATGCAGTGTTAAGTATGACTGTTTTACATCTAGTTTATGTAAACAAATAAAAGTTTGCAGTTTTAAACGTCATACATTATTTTGCTATCTTTTCATATGGCCTTTGGTGACTTTAAAATCTCTAATGACTTGTGGTTTATATAAGTATATATGTCTGCCAGCAGGTGGCACTGATGTTATGTATCTTATGCAATGTCTTCACATTTTATGTAATTATTAGTAAACTGTATGGCCTTATAATTTCAAAAATACACCCCGTGTCTTCATAATCTTCTGAGCTCAATGATTAGTCAGTCATTTGCTTTATTTTTACTATGCTTTTAATTGATCTTTAATGTAAGCATGTTAAGCTTATAACACTTTTCTTTTAGGCAATGGCACGTGTATGGAGGGATGGTCAGCAGCACACCGTGCACATCTACAGGCTTCTGACAACAGGTAACAATCTTGATTCTAATAGTAAAATGTCTATCTGATTAAAACAAAATCTGATACATTTGCATAAAGAGATAAGCTAAGCTAGTTTTGTGTTGCAGAGATCCCAGTGCAGAAAGCATTGTTCTTCCCTAATGCCCACTGAACACTTACCCTCCTTTTAATCCTAACACTAAAGTTTGGCCATATACTGATTAAAATCGAGCCAGACCAGCAGTGACCGGACAGTTTTCAATCAGTGCATGGGCTCCCCCCGCTCAACAGAAGTTTAATCGACTTCTGTCGAAGGGACATGTTGGAAAATGCTCAGCAGCTCCAGCGGGAAAGGAGAGGTGCATGAGCTCACAGAGGACATTACAAGGAGTCAGAAAAACACAGTAAAAAACTATTTCATGCAAAATAGATTGGAGGGCCATTAAATAGTGGATATGTACGGTTTATTACTGGAGAATAAAGATATAATTTAGTATCACTTTAAGTTTTGTAGTGTATCCTACAGTATTATACATTTTTAGGAACACATAGAACTTTGGTAGCAAATTTGGATACATATAAAAAAAAATGTATTTTGTTGCGCTGCCAGTATGCACATGTAATGACTAATAAGTATACCATATACGTGAATACATTAACACATGCTCTAATCACAGTAAAAAAGGTAAATTCACACAATCATAAAAAGCGAATGTAAACCCCCGCCAACCCACCAAACACCCATAAATGGACTGAATAATATTCAAGTGGAAAAAAGTAGAAAAACGTATATAAACACCCTGCTAACATACATAAGTATGAAACAACAGGGGGAGGGCAAAATACTTAAATAATAGTGAAAAAAATGTGCTACAATTCATTAAAAGTTTAAAGTCCAAAAGTAAAGTGCCAAGACAGTCCCTCTGTCCCAGGCAGCTTGAAATATTTATTTCAGAAACACCAGTGAATCTTCAGTATTGTGCACCACCATCTGTCATACACGTTCACCTTATCCATTGACCCATATAACATACAGGTCAAAAGCACTTTAATGATGTCAATATCTCACTGTTATAAAACTTCAGGTCCCATGCATCTCACCATGTCTGAGATGTGTGTGCCTATAGATGTTCACTCTGCCCAATAGGTACTCATAGAACAAAGGAAAAGGGGCTTCCCATAGCATAATACACTCACATTAAAATTGTAATTCAAATGCCCATAGGAATAGAATAGGTGTACCAAAATAGCATCTTCAATCAAACCGGAAATTATGTCACCACACTTCCATCCTAGCTGTTGTGGCATGTATCATAGGACTTCAACAGGGATTGTGATGCAATGCGTAGGACAGAAGCGTGGTGATGTAATTTCTGGTCAGAAAAATCGATCAACTTCGGTACAATCTACCTGCCCATACATGGTTCGAATCTTGGGCGATCCCTGTTGAACTGGCTGAGACTTGAACCATCTGTGGCCGGCTTTACCTGTGACTTTAGCTGATGTTGTTGAGCTTCAATTTCCAGCCTATCCTGGACTTAAACACATCAAGATTAGATAACCCCAAGAACAAGCATACTTCTATCTAATGTGCCCAGCAAAAACCTTATCTACAAAGATATCGTGTCAATGTGCTGCAGTGTAATTGTGTTCCAGCACAAAGTTCATATCACACACCATATATGTATGTGTATCGAGGGGTAGCATCAGACCCCAACAAATACAATTTGTGACAATTTTTTCATGTTCTTCTGTGTTCTCTGGTTTCTGCTTGACTGTCTAGTTCTGGCAAGAGAACTAAAGAATATGCAGCCGTCACATCTTTCTCTGATTACTGAACCTGAACAGTCCAGTGATAGGATAGAGATGAATAGTGATACAAGTGGTATAATAAAGAAGGGAACATAAAGTCTTATTCAATAGAAATGCTTTACTTCCTGCTGCATTTATGATCATGCAAAAATGTATACAAGAAATTATATCCTGCGCCTCTATGTGAAAATAACTATGTATATACTGTGTGTGTGTTTATATATATATATATATATATATATATATATATATATATATATATATAGTGCATATAAATCATAAAAGTATATGTAAGATGGCTGCAAGAAATATTTGTGTTCCCACAATATGCAATGATCATATAAGTGTAAGTGATTGTTGTGCCTTCCCAAATAAAAAACAATTCTTATATCATAAACACAGTGCAATGTCCACCAATGCAAGTAGTAAAACATAAATACGTATATATTAGCCCATGTCATCAAATCAGGAATAAACTTCATAGGATGGGGTTGTGCAGTCCTTATGCAACACCTCTGGTGATGATCAAATATGTGCGTTGTGATGCCCACCACCTGTTCACCACTGCACTCACCTCCAAACTCGACCTGTAACGTTCAGGTCTAAGTGTACCATTTCCTCCAATAGGGGTTCTTTAAATGTCTCCACCTCTGCTAACCAGTATATACTGGTGCTTCCAGGTCTCTCCTATATGGGATGGATGTATGTCCATATATTGTGGTCTGGCCCTTTAAGATCATGATCCCCTTCTTTCATCTGTGGCCATGAAAGATTGAAGCTTTCCTTAGGAATGCAATGTCAGACACTTGTAGCACGAAACCATTTTTATTACGCCATGTGGGACATCATTACCAGGTTCATAAAGATCTTTCAGGGGCAGCTGCCGGGAACTCAATAGCCAGCCCCCCTTTCTCCCACAACCGGTTCTTCCAAGGACCCTTCTTTCCCTGCACACAGTGTATGGCATTTTCTTGGGAGTCAAGACAGTAGCATTTTTTTTGCTGAACTCCTGGTCAAGTGATCATCCAGTACTAGGTTGCTCTCCTCACTATGTTCTAAATTCCTCCAAATGGCTAGCTGCTAGCACTCAAAACTGATACCAAATTCAGTGTGAATAAATTATATAAACAATAGTGCGCTCAAAACTAATGCAAATGACAAAAAAAACACATACAGCTGATAAAATACTAGTGCCAACCCTTATTCAAAAATACGAAATTTAAGTGCCACTTATATATAAAATAGTGCAGCGCTCAAAACTAATGCAAAATGCCAAGGGACAACAGTGATAAATAAGTGGTGCCAAACCATGACCATAAAACATTGTGCATAATTTCTGGGCTTCAAGAAAATGTCCAATAAGGGTGCTCACACAGTGCCACACAAATAAAACCACATAAGTGTTAAAATCAAGAACAATGTCCTATTAGTGAAAAAAATATTTATATTCATGCGATGTGCATCTGTGATGATGGATAAAACTGTGACTGTGAAAAATCCTTCCGTGGAAGGATTTTGGACACCCAGTCACAGTTTTATCCATCATCACAGATGCACATCGCATGAATATAAATATTTTTTTCACTAATAGGACATTGTTCTTGGCCATTTGTGTGGCACTGTGTGCACTGTTAGAGTTTTTTTTTTTTCCTTATTGGACATTTTCTTGAAGCCATACCATTAATTTATGCACAATGGGCATGTCATGGTTTGGCACTCCAATTTCTTATTTTTTGATTAAGGGTTGGCACATCACTGTTGTATGTTTTTTTTTTTTTTTTTCCCTTGGCATTTGCATTAGTTTTGAGCGCTGCACTATTTTATATATAAGTGGCACTTAAATTTGGCACTAGTATTTATCAGCTGTATGTGTTTTTTTTTGTCATTTGCATTAGTTTTGAGCGCTGCACTATTGTTTATATAATTTCTCCTCACTATGTATTTCCTGGAGGAGTCATCCTTCTGGGTTTGCACTTTACTGCTTGATGTGAACAATTCCTGTTGGCTGACCAGTGAAGTGGTCCATGCAACTGTGGATCATCTGGATTTTCTGGGTTATGCTGCTTAAAAAGTTCTTCTTTCGGTGTGTCTTTTTCCTTGAAAAAGCACATTTTAAGCAGCATAACCCAGAAAATCCAGATGGTCCACCGTGCCCATGCCGACACTTATTCACACTAACAGTGCCTACAATGGGCATGTGAGCATCAGAACTGGGCAATGATGGGAAGGTGACCTGGCCTGATGAATCACTTTTACATCATGTGGATGTTTTGGGCACGTGGGCACGCTTACCTGGGGAAAAGGTGGTACCCAGGATGCATTATGGGAAGGAGGCAAGCCGGTGGAGGCAGTGTGGCACATTGGGCAATGTTTTGCTGGGAAACCTTGGGTCCTGCCATTTGCAGTATGTGGATGTTACTTTAACACATACCCCCTACCTAAACATTGTTGCTGACCAAGTACACCCCTCCATGGAAATAGTATTCCCTGATGGCAGTAGCCTCTTTCGCCCTGCCACACTGCAAAAATGGTTTGAGGAACACAACAAGTTCAAGGTGTTGACTTGGCTTCCGTATTCTCCAGTTCTCAATCCAACCAGCTGAACATCCGCATCCACATCGTCAGTGCCGCAATGAAATGTGTCATGGAAAAACAAATACGATCCATCTCCCCACCTCACAACTTACAGATCTTAAAATTTCTCTGCTGCTGGTGGCTCCGTGCCAGATATCACAGCATACCTTCAGATGTTTAGTGGTGTCCATGTCTCGACGGGTCAGGGCTGTGTGGGTGGCAAAAGGGGACATACTCAGTATTGGGTGGGTGGTTGTAATGTTATGGCTGATCGGTGTATTGACACTTGCCACTTTTTATTAGATGTGACAGCTGTATTTTTTCAGGCTTTTTTTCTTTTTATTGTAACCTGGTGACACCTGCCAGTAACACACTTCCTGTACTAGGGTGACAACACTCACTGACTGTACTGTATCTATAGAGGCGCAGTATTGTCACCCTAGGACAGGAAGCATGTTAGGACTGCAGAGCATCCTCTCTATATCTCCATAACATAGAGGGGTGGTGTTCTGTAGTCCAAAGAGGAGAACAGAGTAGGGCTGACAGAAATGTTAGCGATTTTAGTGCAGGAAGTTAGGAGCTTACTGGATTCCTGATTATCGGAAAGATAAACTTCCTCTAGAAACAATTTCTAGCTAGCTAAGTTGAGTATTTAAAATAAGCTGGATGTCTTTCTAGGCCATTTTCACACAGGGCATGTTGGTGCGGTAAATCCAGGCAATTGAGGAGCATTTTTAATGTGCCTCAGTGGCTGTCAAATCCTGGCAATGGCAGCTGAACATCCGCATCGTCAGTGCTGCAATAAAATGTGTCATGGCTATGATGCTGTGCTTTGCAGAACAGCAAAAAAAGTAGGACATGCTGTGTTTGACAAGTGATCCTGCCTACCAACGTGCCCCATAGAAGTGAATGGGGCCATGCCACAACTGCAATGCAACTGCTTTCAATGGATGTGGTTGTGGTGCAGTGAAAAGCAATTTGAGTGTGAAATGCCTCTTCCAACAGTTATGCAGAAGGCAACATATTGCCTCCTGACTGCCTGTTAACAGCAGGCCATACACAGGAATCCACCAATGATCATGAGCCAGCAGCTATGCCCATGTAAAACAGTCCTAAATGCACAGAATATAGCTGATTATTAATTTATAAGTAATAACACCATAGATTGTTGATCCAGGGAGTATCCAAATGCATTAGGGGCTCCTATTGGAGCAAATCTTTTTTTGCCATCCTTTGAATCAACTATAGTTATAGGGTTACAGGTTTTCTGTTTGTTTGTTTTTCTATTGGTTGAACTCTATGGGCTTTTTTCTTTTTTCAACCGAACTATGTAACAAACTAAATAGAAGAAAAAAAGAGAAGTTAATTGTAATGTTTTACATACATTTTAGGAACTGTTGCAACTCAGCAGTTTAACATTGTATGGCTTGTCTATGTTTAAGTGGCACACCCGAACATTCCGTATGTTTTCAGGTGAGTGAAACCGCATGGTTTTCCATGCTGCCTTTTAAATATTGTTTTGGGACTGCCCCCCCCCCCCATGCTTTCTACAAGTACAGCAGCCCATTTACATGAATGGGCAGCTATGCCTGTGCAAATGTGTACCACACAGATGTGAACCTAATGCTTACTTAAAGCTTAAATTCAGCAGATTGTCATTGACATACTCTGTAAAGTCACTAAGTTCCTCCTGTGTGTCCAACCAAATTAAAGCGGAGCTTTAGTCAGGAATTAAGTCCTGCTAGATCACTTCTTCTGCAGGTATAGCTATGTAAAACATCAAAAATAAGTACCTGTACTGTTTAAAATCCAATCATACACGGTCTCACCCTGCTCTGCACATGCTCAGTTGCTCTGTATTTTTCAGCACTGTGCTGCAAATGTAGAGGCTGATCTGCTGACAGTCTAAGGATTTACTACTGCTCAGTGGCTCCGGGCTTCAGCAAAATAGCAGCCTCCAGCAGGAAGAAGCAGGAACAATGCTGGAAGCAATTAAGCTCTTCCTGGACATGCTGGCAGTGGGTTTTTTTTCTTCTGCCTACAAACGCCTATGTGTGCATGGACACATACACTAACATGGAGGGGTGTTAAAGCGTTACTAAACCCAGGACCCTGCATTCACTATATCTGGTCTCCCACAGTACACAGAACATGGAAATGCAATTATTTTAGTAAATATAAACTGCAGTATATAGCAGGCTTGTGGCTTCTATCAGTGTCCAGCAGAGCACTGATTAAAGCTTGTAGGAGTTTTCATTCTCCCCTGAATGACCTATGAGGCTGCATGATCGCTGACCCTCTGGACAGTGGTGATTGGCCTTGTGCTGATCACATGCACTCTCCCAAAGAAAAAAACAAAAAACAAACTTGCTATCAATACACACCAAACTGAGCATGTGCAGAGTGACTCCTAGGCTCTGTTCTCTTAGCAGATAGGTTGGGGATAATAGAAAAAGGGGAGGATCAGAGAAGACAACATCAAACGGCCTTTTTATACAGTGTGGAGGATTAACCCCTTAGGTTCCACAGTAAAAACTGCAAGACGCCCCTTTGTGTATCTTGTGAGCAGTCTTTTATGGGAATATTATTGTTACTGTCTAGTTTGTGAAAAAGATCTTTCACAAGTCATTATGTCTGTCATGTCTGCTCACTAGCCTGGTATATGTTTGACCTTCTATATCACATTTTCTTGCAGGTACTTTAGAGGAAAAGATTTATCAGCGACAGATTAGTAAACAGGGTCTCTCCGGGGGCTGTAGTTGATCTGGCCAAAAAGTCAGAACATATCTGTTTTTCTGTGGATGAGCTGAGAGATCTTTTCACTCTGGACGAAGACAGTGACTGTGTGACCCATGACTTGCTGGAGTGTGACTGTACACAGACAAAGCACTATCCAGGTAACCTGCATCTTTCCTGCCGTGTCAGAAGAGTTCAGTCTAGCTTTAGTCTTCAAGAGATATTAAAGGTTTTTTTTTTTTTAAAATAAGAAACATGTTATACCTACCTGCTCTGTGCAGTGGTTTTGCACAGAGCAGCCCCGATCCACTACTTCTCGGGTCCCCTGCTGGCACTCCTGGTTCCTCCCCCTTGACCAATGCTCCTAATACCAAGCCATTGCTATGGGGACACTGGTGCGTGCTCACTCCCAAGCTTTGTTCTTTGCATCCATAAGACACACAGAGCCTCGGCTCGGTCCCACCCTCTGATTTTCTTCTCATTGGCTGTGATTGAAAGCAGTGGGATCCAATGGCTCCTTCTGCTGTGTCTCAGCCAATGAGGAGAGAGACCCTGATCAGTCGAGGCTCCCGTGCATATTGATGGGTTGGGAGGGGGCTCAGGTGAGTATTAGGGGGCTGTGGAGGGAGCAGCACACAAAAGGTTTTTAAACTTCATGCATAGAATGCATGAAGGTAAAAAACCTTCAGCCCTTACAATCACTTTAAACACAAGAATGAACAAAGCCTATGTGGGAAAAGTAATAGGTTCTCTTTCAATTTAAATCCCTATCTATAACCTGGGTCTTAGGGCAGGCAGTTTCACTTTAAATGGTACCCGTACCTAGTGTATGAAGCAAACATAAAATCCCAGTTCTTGTATAATCCCAATAACATAAGTGGATGGCTGCACACTCTTACAAGGTCTGTGGCCATTTCCTTTGCATACAATAGCTAAACAGATCTGAACTAGGTAAAAAATTTCCATGATGCAGATGGAAGTTGTTTGGAAAGAACATACAAACTTCATGCAGATAGTGTCAAGGTAGGGTCCTAAAGACATCCGCATTAAGCAGTGTGGTGTTCATTGAATAAATATCACTTTGGTTCTCTTGCTGCCTTTGACTCTCTGTAGTAGTATATGTACATATTGAGCAAATAAAAGATAATAAATGGTGTTATTTCATGCATTCAGCTATGTCTTTTCATTTCAGGTGGTTCCACTGGAAAAGAGATCACACGTGGGAGGCTCATTAATAAGCCTTATAAGAATGTTTCCATGTCTGAACTGATGGAGTGGAAACACCTTTCCATGGAGCAGCGTGCTGATGACCCTTTTCCTCCAGCCAGGGAGAAAATATATTTCCTTTGTTTTCCAGAACATGACAAACAGCCAAACCTGAACTGTGATCAGAGGTCACATAGACTTTCTGTCACACAGTGCCCTGGTATAATGTGCTGTGCACTGATCCCAGCTTGGCACTCATTGCATACAAAGAGTAAGTCAAATGTCAACAGGCACTTGCTAAAAGAGGAGAGTATATTTAGAATGAGCCACCCATCGGGGACAATGATCTCTTAATATCTATTAAACTGTTCACAATGTTGGGAACAAACACTTTTGGCAGGCTTCAGTGTGGGCATTTCTGAACAGCCTTTTATCAATTTTTTTTTTTTTTTTAAGTTGCAAAAATAATAAAATAAAATAACAAAAAATTGCATTAAACATTTGTGTTTTTGATCTGTTAAAACACAACTTGCTGTAAAATCAGAAATAACCCCTCAGTGCTGGCTTTTCTGAACATTTCTTTTATCAGTTTTGGGGTTTTATAAGTTGCAAAAAAAAAAAAAATTTCTTCCCATATGTTTACCTTATGCCCAGCAGGAACTTGGTCTGTCCATTGTTCATACACAGTATTTATATGAGACACGTCAAACTCAAATGAAAAAAGACGGCCTAACCAAATGTAACAAAGGGGCCACAGTATGTCTACTGAGGGCCATACTTCAATTCAAAATAAAATATAGCTCTTTGGTAATTAACAATATACAGTTGCAAGAAAAAGTATGTGAACCCCTTGGGATTACGTGGAGTTTTGCATGAATTGGGCATAAAATGTGCTCTGAACGTCATCTAAGTCACAACAATTGAAGAACACAGTCTTCTGAACATTATACTACACAATCATTAGATGTTGCCATGGTTTAATTGCACATAACATGTAAACATTCACAGTGCAGGGAGGAAAAAGTATGTGAGGCCCTAGCTTAATGACTTCTCCCAGAGCTAATTGGAGCCAGGAGTGAGCCAACCTTGACTCCAATCAGTGTGATGATATTGGATGTATTGCTGACAGCTGTCCTGCCCTTAAAAAAACACACACCTGTTTTGGGTTTACTGGTTTCAAGAAGCACTGTCTGATGTGAACCATGCCTCGTAGAAAAGAGCTCTCAGAAGACCTACGATCAAGAATTGTTGACTTGCATGAAGCTGGAAAGGGTTACAAAAGTATCTCCAAAAGCCTTGATGTTCATGTGTCCACGGTAAGACAGACTGTCTACAAATGGAGAAAGTTTAGCACTGTTGCTACTCTCCCTAGGCGCGGTCATCCTGTAAAAATGACTGCAAGAGCACAGCGCAGAATGCTGCATGAGGTAAAGAAGAATCCCAGAGTGTCAGCTAAAGACCTACGGAAATCTCTGGCACATGCTCACATTTTTGTTGACACATCTCTACAATAAGGAAAAACATTAAACAAGAATGGAATACATGGGAGGACACCACAGAGGAAGCCATTGCTGTCCAAAAAGAATATTGCAGCACGTTTGAAGTTTGCAAAAGAGCACCTGGATGTTCCACAGCACTACGGGCAAAATATACTGTGGACAGATGAAACCAAGATTGAGTTGTTTGGGAAGAACACACAACACTGTGTGGAGAAAAAAAGGCACAGCACACCAACATCAAAACCTCATCCCCACTGTAAAACATGGCGGAGGGAGCATCATGGTTTGGGGCTGCTTTGCTGCCTCAGGGCCTGGACGGATTGTTGTCATTGATGGGAAAATGAATTCCAGAGTTTATCAAGACATTTTGCAGGAAAACGTACGACCATCTGTCCGCCAACTGAAGCTCCGCAGAGGATGGGTGATGCAACAGGACAATGACCCAAAGCATACAAGTAATTCAACAAAACAATGGCTGCAACAGCACAGAAAACGCCGTCTGGAGTGGCGCAGTCAGAGTCCTGACCTCAACCCGATTGAAATGCTGTGGCATGACCTTAAGAGAGCGATTCACACCAGACATCCCAAGAATATTGCTACACTGAAACAGTTTTGTGAAGAGGAGTGGTCCAAAATGACTCCAGATCGTTGTGCAGGTCTGATCTGCAACTACAGGAAACGTTTGGTTGAGGTTATTGCTGCCAAAGGAGGGTCAACCAGTTATTAAGTCCAAAGGTTCACATACTTTTTCCTCCCTGCACTGTGAATGTTTATATGTTATGTGCAATTAAACCATGGCAACATCTAATGTTTGTGTAGTATTATGTTCAGCAGACTGTGTTCTTCTATTGTTGTGACTTAGATGACGTTCAGAGTACATTTTATGCCCAATTCATGCAAAACTCCACGTAATCCCAAGGGGTTCACATACTTTTTCTTGCAACTGTAACACGTGCTGCTTACCATATTATATCCCAGGAAACATTTCCTGAAATATTTTATTTCAAAATAATGTAAGAAACTATAACCCCCATCACCTATAGAACAGCTGAAGCTTTGTTCAGTTAAATTCCTTAAAGTAGTACTAAAGACTCAGCTTTTTTTAAATGTATGCACTGGTAGCAATCACTGCAACATGCTCCAGTAAATTTCAGTGCCTCAATGTGTGGCCAATACTCACATAACTCTCTGTTCTCCACTGTTCACTCCCGGCCACATAGTGCTGCTTCCCTGAACTCCCACGGAGGAAAGGGCACGTACAAAAGACACAGTGAAGACATGAGGATCATTTCACCAAGAAAGATTGCAGGCCCAAGAAAGGAGTGAGAGGGCTGCATTTGGCTCAAAAAACTCCAGTTTGATAAGTCTACACTTTAGTGGGTTGGTAGAGACTCCCTAGAGTAGAAAAGGCTGCAGGGAAAAGTAGGCCTTGTTTATAGAATGGCCCTAAGAATATACTGTCTGTGTTGCTAGTAATAATGCGTCAAAAGAGAGGGTGAATCTGCTAAGTAGCATAGTGGTTAGGACTTGGCAACATATGCGGTACAAACATGAAGTTCAGTAGTTCTCTAGGGCAGGACCTGATGTGAATAGATCAGGGTACTCTTCACAAAGCTTCATATTGTGTTGGGACTATGTAAGCAAAAAGACAAGAAATTACTGATTGCTATGGGTAACATTGTTTTGTTTTCAAAGACATCATAAGCCTGGCAAGTGCAAGACAATGTTTAGCAGCTGCCAGACCTCATTGGCTCACAATATTCAATCACTCTCCAGACATTTATGCCCGAAGCAGTCACTTTGTCCCCGGTGACCCTTATTGTTCCCCTACATATCTCCTTATAGTTGTGGTTCAGATGGTGGCACTGTATAGCCTCATACTTGTATTTATGACAAGCACATATGTCTTTCTGTAAATTATTTACCAGATATTTCAAGCTGTGAGTATCACATTCACTTAGGATTGCTTATGCCAGTAATGCACTGAAATCACCTCTGCAGTTATTGTAAATCTGCATCGTCTTTTATTGCAAACAGGTTGACTGTCTATTTATTTTCCATTCGTTCTGGCCCCATGCCTTGAATGGATGTTTTATAATAGTTCCAGTAATCTGAAAGTGAAGCGAATCCATTTCAGAGTTGATTTCATATCTCGCAGGATCTGCTTGTCGTTTTACTCCTACTTGCTGCTACTCTGTTTAATTTTAACAGCATCGTAACCAAAGTGTTCAGCAAAACATCATTTGTCGCTGTCTAGGCTCATCCCTGTGACATGGCGAAAACCACAGGCCGCGCTGAGTCAATACTACACGGCATATGGAGGAGTGCTGGCAAGGCGCACAGAGAAAACAAACACCGTTGCCAGGGAAAGCAATAAGTATTAAATCAAGTGAGAAATACCTGTAGTTCAGTGTTATTGCCGGAATAACTATATATAGACATCAGATGCAGTGTGCACTGTGTAGTCCAGCCAGCAATGTTGATGGTATTCCAGTACACATGTGCAAATTGGTAGGGATATATGGCCTTACCTAAACTCCATTTTACTCCAGATATTAAGATAAAACTAGTGTTTTTCTTTTTCTACTTTAAATCCTGCCTTGCATCTGTAAAAAAACAAAAACAAAAAAACAGTTGGTGCAATAACTCACCTTCATTCCGGAGCTGTCCCGTGTACTTTTTTGTTGCCAGTCTTCCAGGTAAATGACAGCCGGTGTCATCCAACCCACTTCCTATGCACCCAGACTGTCATGGACCCACCTCAAAGAACAGCTCACAGTACACCAGAGGCTCAGCACTGCTCAGTCTAGAAGGAAAGGCCACCTGCTACTGAATAAGGTCCAGTGATATGAGCAGACTGTCCTGAAGACTGCGACAAAAAGGTAGGATATTAAAAAGAATAATAGGTCTAAGGCGGGCTTTAAGGAGGGTGTGTGATGAGCTAGAGTTTCACTTGAAGCAGTTCTAAACTTACCTTTCCTCCAATGGACCCCATCCTTTATTGGCCCTGGCATTTTCTCCTGGGTAATGGTCTTTGGGTATCTTCATTGGCTGGTGTGGGGTGATGGATCTCCTGCACATGGGCAAGAGTCAGTTGTCCTGGCATACAGTTTGTGGTGCGCAGCTCAGTTTACATGCCAAAGAAGACAGCAGAACTTTAGTTCTGCTGTAAAGCTCACTATATACACTGCAATCTGGCTGTACAATATCCTTTAGCTCTGCCAACAACTGTGAAGTGTAAGGGACTATTTAATTGCATACAAATGAAATGCATTGTTTAATAGACCCTCATATTACATGTGCCTGTTGCATGTTTTTCACAGATCTGAAATTAGATGCATTGATGTCTGTGGAACATTGCACACAGCTGAGTAAAGAGCAGTAAAACAAAATGAGAACATTTTACATTTGAGTCCAATAATTTACTTGCGTGCTTGCTTGTTTATAATGTTTAAATGAATATATTACAATACTGGCAATGAAGAATTTTACTTGTCTGTACTCAGGTCTTTACACACGGGTTTTGGCTCCTTGCACACAGGAGTCACAAGTTCCTAAGTAAACATCAGTAAATTATCATACCTGTGTGCAAGGGGCCTAATGCAAATTGTACAGAGATTGTCCAATCAGATTGTAATGTGTCTGGCCAGTTTACTAAGAAATATTGAACATATAC